TAAACGCAGCCTGATCGTTGGCCGCGACGAAGTTGGCTTTACCTTTGTCGGCGAGACCGGTCTCCAGAGTATCAAAAAGCTCCGTGTAGGACGAGTGAAACTCAGGTAGGACAGAGTCGCGACTCGACTTGAGGAGGTAGAAAATGACCCGCTTCAGCTTGTCGTGCTTGGGTTCCGACGGGTCGAGGTAGGAGAGGATGCGGTAGCCTCCGGTGAGCTCCAGGGAGGGCATGTAGGTTCCGGTGAAGAGGTCCTTCTTCTCGACTTTCGAGACGTCGAAGAGCACCGGGAAGCTCTTCCCGTCGAGGAGGGCGACGACCTGGGACTTGTAGGTGATGGTGGGGCCCGGCGGCATGTTGACACGGAACACCGTTGACTGGTATTTCTGGATGCGGGACTTGAAGAACTCGTCCCTGCCCTGGTTGTAGAAGTAGTCCAGGCGGTCGCTGATGGGGCCCACGAATGGGAGGCCGTAGTCTCCGGGGATGTTCTTCAAGGGAAGGGGTTTTGTCTGGTCAGACTCCGGCGGGTTTGCTGAAACAGAAGAGGAGGAAGGGTACTTTTCGGAAACAGAGGCGGAGATGGGACGGACATGACGGCGCGTGAAGGAGGAGTTGAACAATGGTGAGTTTCTTGATGATTGGATTTGAAACTGTAGCTGCAGAGAAGGGAATGCCAAGGAAGTCGAAGCCATTGGAGGAGGCTTTGACTGTTAGGTAGAGATGTGAAAGTTGATGGGTGGTTTATGGTGGATGTTTGGATGGCAGCTTTATTTATAGTGGGGAGGTCGAGTGGGAAGACGGTGGGTTATGGGAGCCCAATAGTTAGTGCAATTTAATAAGGAGGATCGTGAAATGCGTGCATTATATTGTATATGTTGCTTTGGTTTGGGTGGCGCCGACTGGGAACCCACATTGAAAATTAGAAGAAAACCAAATACCAAGTTGTCCAAAATATTGAAGCAAATCCTTTTAATTGGTATGTTTGTGGGTAAAACACATTAGTTGAAAATATTGCATGGAAAATATGTTTGCAACACTCCTCATGTGACATATGCATATAATTCAATGAATTTATAGTGCATATAATTGGGATTAACAAGTTTTTCTGCTTGTTTGTAGATGTGGTGCAACTATTCATCTATGGAAAAGAAATCATTTAGCATTCATGCAAATCATGTAACACATGCAAAAATAACTTGTCGAAAACACAAAAAGAACAATTTCCGCACCCAAGTAAAATTGGGTACTCTAAATTACATGAATGTAAGAATGTGTACTTCGAAAAGAAAATTATGAGTATTTTCTCTAGAAAACAAATCAAGTTACAAATGTTTAATCAAAAGTAAAACTAGAGGAACACTAAGTAAGTAATAAATCGTCTATCGGTCATATTAGGTGCTTTCTTATTAACTTTTTAGTATCTCTCATGGTAATTTTTTACGAAAACTAATGAAAATGACTTGAAAACTTTGAGTTTTAACGAAAATAACAAAATAAAGGATAAAGTGAATAGTATCATGATTGATTTTTTAGTATAAAAATATAAATTTTTTTTTCTTTAAAATGAATAATACCATAAACTTTTTATTAAAATTCTCTAATTTTTTTATAAAAATGTTTGTAATCAGTCTCGATGCTACCCATTCATCTAATTGTGGATCGTGCATATTTTTCTGCCACGTTGAATTGTGTTTTGGTCCAAATCATCGTACTTGTTACCAAACCGTTACTAAACTTTATGAACATCTCCAAGAACAGTGTTAAGTTCTGTTATTTTCACTAGTGAATAGTGTAAAAAAATCAATTTGATTACCTAGTCAATTTAACTTACCATCTCCAATGACACTTTAACAAAAATTACAATATTTTATTATTTAACAACTCAACCTTTAATATTTTATTATTTAACCTTTAATCTTTTATTTAACACTCTATTTAAATAAACACTTCAATAGTCACCTTTCCGTGCCATCATATCGATCAATCCACAATCTAGGCAGAGAAAAACAGTGAAGTACTACTAATTTATGTTTAACTCGCCTGCAAATTTTTCTCTTCTCCTAATTAAATTTTGTGAATTTCCCGTTAAAGTAGCAAATAGCCTTGTTTACTGAAATTTAACTAAAAGGAAAGAAAACTTCTCATGGAGTAATGGCAAATAGAAAAAAACGTGCATGGACTAGGACCGTCGATGACTCAACGCTAAAGTTGAGTTGTCGTTTTTCTCATGCATCCTGTCCGAACGGAAAATGATTCTTTTTGCGAACCTTCATCGTACATTGTATAATCAGTTTTCGTTATATATTATTTATGTTTAATTTTAAATACAAAAATTAAATAATTTTTTACAGCACGATATACAATAAATAATTAATATGTGAAGATTCTTATAATTCCCACAAAATGGATTCAGATGGGATCCAATTCCTATCCGAACATCTCTGATTCTCTAGGGCCTCTAAGTGGCGGGTGTTTTTACTTTTTACGCGCACGCTTCTTGATCGTCATTTATGACTATAGCGCGTGGGTCTAACAATTCTACTCGTCAAGCACAAACCTCGGACGCAGTTGAAAGTCAAAGCTGTTGCTCTTTTTTTACTTCCGACCACGCGATGCCTGGATACGGTTAATCACTGCCGGTCAAATTGCACGCTCATGTCACGTGATCTCCGTCCAAAATATTTAGCCTCATAGATTTTGTAGTGTTGTCTCCTTTAGAACTGTACAGCGACCCTTTTATTGACTTGGCCTAGTTTGGCCGGTTGGGGGAAATGTGACCATCATTTCTTGAGCTTTGCCTAACTAGTGATGGATTTTCATTTTACTTTTGGACTTTGGACAAGTAAAATGTAACTGTACTACACTCTAGGGTCGTATACCATAATTATGGCGATTCATTCATACGCGCGGCGATATGATGATTACGACTATCATGTATTTGGAGATATATAACATAAGTTATAAAATTAAACCCTTATTAGTTAATTGATTAATGATTTGCATGTTATTCAATCAAGAATATTTAGCCATTGGATTAAGATACATGATTATGTTGGAATTTATTAGTTTATTTAGGAAATTATTATAAAATTTGAATTGACTTTGTATTAGGTTATTTTTGGTATTTACGTATTAGGGTTTTTAGGTTTTTGTCACTATAAATATAGGTTGTAAGTTAGTATGAAAAATAAGTCGGTCACAATTTAGTCTTTAATTTGTAGCATCTTAGCAATATTTTTTATTTGTTTTCCAGTTAATAATATTCATATTTTCATAGTTTGTTTATTTGGTACTCTAATTTTCAATTGATTCAACAACTATTCTTATTGGCGGTATATCTCTGTTTGTTTGTTTGTTTTTTTTTTTTTGGTTTTCCATTGTTGCCACAATCATCTTTTCCATACCCCACATTTCTTGAACTCTAAGGTCATCTCCAACCGAGCCGGCCAAAGGGCTATAGGTCAAAACATAGTTCGTTTTGACACAAAACCCATCTCCAATGAAGGGTTGGGCCAAAAAAATTTGAGACCTATCAAGCCAAAATATAGCCAAATGGCCAAATGGTTAAGCAAACATAACTAGCCTGCAGCCAACCATGAAAGTTGGGCCCAACTGTGTTGCTAGTTGACATCATGTAACCTTTTTTATTTTTATTTTTTTAAGACAAAATTTTAAAAAATAAATAAAAAAATTATATAAATACCTAGGCCATTTCTACACAATTTCTCACATCTTTTTTCACCCTTCCACACTATCTTACCTCATTTTAATGTCTACGTTGTTAACATGCAAGTAAAATTAAAATATTTAATAACATGAAACTTAAAACAACATTTAGCGACTAGTGGTCCTCAAAATATGTTCAGAAACCTTATTTTAATATGGTAGTTTAATTCAATTAACTGATAAAATTAAAGAAAAAACTTAAAATAATAAATTATTGAGGGGGCTAAAAATAGCCCCCTTTGGTTAGAGATTGTATATAGATATGGCATGACACTATTTATTAAAAAATAATTTCTTGTAGGACTATAATTTGGACGGGGCCTAAACATAGCCCCTTAAGTTGGAGATGGCCTAAGGTAACTGAAACCTCGCTCACCGAGTTCAACTTCACCAACGACACCCTCCGCTACGATCTTGCCCTTGATATTTCCTTACGAAACCCTAACCATGTATACTGTAACTATTACAATAACATTCAAGTCACACTTCTTACAAGAACCAAAGATTTGGGATGGCGAATTCGAACTTGTTTTACTAAGGAGAAAAAACACAAGTATATTGCCTTTGTCACTTGAAGGGAAGCATGACTTGGTGAATCTTAACGTTGAGGATCTTTCAAAGCTTAAAAGGAGTAACGGAAGATATTGTTGCGAAGCTTTATCTTCAAAATGCGTACACGATGTCACCAAAGCTATCGGTGAAATGGAGAGCGCAGAAAGGGTTTACATGTGACTCGAAGGTTTTCCTTACACCAATGTGGCCTATATGAAGGTATTCTAAGCCAATTATATATTGCCATGTAGTTTGACTTTTAAAATGAATGTACATAATTGACATGAAATACTCACCACAATCATACCCTTATCTTACGAACGTTCTTCTTGTGGATTCATGTAATTAGGTCACAGGTGGAGTTCAAATCATCTGCACATATTTTGTGTATGACACTTTTGTGGCCTTAATCATTGAATTAATATGTTTAAGTTTATGATAACAGAGTTAATAAGAGTTAAATTTATGAACACGTGTCAACTAATGATAGAGGTCACAGAAAAGTGACACGTAAAATGAGTGCAGAAAATTTAAACTCGTCTACTGTGTTAGTGTGATTATTGTTGGGCTAAGCTGGTACAATTTGTTCATGCAGTCCAATAATATTGGGCTACCTGGGCTACCTAATATATCTGAGCTAAAGCCCAGCTCACCTGTTCGACCCCGAGACATATGGAGGGTTCAAGCCGATTAAAACATAACAAAACAAAAAGCAGGAAGCCCTGCTTAAACCCTAAATCCCAACAATGGAGCTGCAGTAAGTCTGTCGTGGGCTTCCTACTTCACATTCCGGTTTTTCCGACCACCGCGTACTACTTGAAAATCTATAACTAATACTCCTCCTCCTCCCTATCGGCCGCACACCCGAAAAAACTTTAGAGAGAATATAATTAGACAAGAGTCATCGATATGTTTCCCACCTGATCGAAAAAAACCCTAGGGCAGCTGACTGAGAGAATTGGTTCAGATCGGCTCGGCACGGCCTGCAGAGAGAATTGGTTCTCAGGTAATTTCAAGATCCATATCCCAGAATTTGTGAGTGAAATCATTACTTTAACTTGTTATGTATATGCGTATAAATGTACATGGATAAATGAATGAGGGTTTTTTCTGTGATGATGAATACGATTTGATTGCTAAAATATTGATTGCATGTTTCTCTAATTTAGTTTTCTGTGGTTTCACATGTTCACGCCGTTTCTTTGCCGAGAACCAAAGAAACCTGAAATATGTATTGTAATGTGTTCTATACTGTATAATTTGGTTAGCGCCATAGATTTTGATTGGGTATTTTTTTAGTTAGGGTGTAGTTTTTTATTTTTTTTTTATTTTTTTGCCTAAATCCTAAACCCTAAACCCATTGGCAATGTGGTTTATATTGTTCGTTCATATTATAAGACAAGTTGGTAAAGGAAGGGAGATTAGGGTTTTTTTTTTTTGGTCCCTGTTGCTATTGTTGTCGTTGATTCTTCCGCAATTCTTCATTGGTAAGAGTTAGCAGATGATCATGATTATATATATAATTTGGTTTTTATCTTAATTTTTGTATCGGTTGAAGTTTTTTAGCCGAAATGTCTACATCTTATAAATAATTTTCAGAAAAAGGGTGACATATATTTAACAAGTATTTGATATTTTTTCCACAGCATTTCTGTCGAATATATCAGATTGATTCAGATATCTGAAGTGTCCGTATTTGAAAAATGAGATTGGCGAAGAGAGAAATGTTGCGAACAACCTTTCTTTTCAAAACAAAGAGAAAGATGTCGCCAAGAAAAAGGCTTAGTTCTAAGTTGACAGATGCTATTGCTGGAACAGACATCAAAGAAGCAGTTGGACTGACAGAAAATACCAAGGAAACGAAAACAAAAAGGGAACTTCCCGATTGGATTCCAGCAGCCCCTAACAATTCCAATGCGAATAACATGAAACAAAAAGTTATATTCGTTCTCGACAAGGCCTCTCTAACACTAGCTCATGTCGGAAACATAATTCGGGTTTTGAACCCCGACCACCACTCGGATTTCATGAGGAAAAAGAAACTTGATCCTTACGTACACCGCCCTGACATTGTCCACGACGCTCTCCACCAGATCATGACATCGAGACTCTGCATGTCCGGCAGACTAGAAGCCGTTTACATCAAAACGGATTGCGGCGTGCTGATTGAGGTTAGTCCGCGAACTGCCATACCAGCATCAATGGACAAGTTCTGTGACCTGATGTCAAAGGTGTTGCAAGATCTTAGGGTTGCGCCTAGGGGCAAAAGTGTCAGAGGCGGCATGACATTGTTTCGTCTGGTGAAGAATCCTGTGACTCGGCACTTGCCTGTGAACTCCTTCAAGGTAGGGCTTTCTTGCAGCGCAAGCAAGGCGGTCGAGTTGAGGGATTATGTCAGTGATTTGGGGGGTGCAGATGTTGAAAATTTGGTGTTTGTGGTTGGTGCAATGGCTCGTGGGGCGATTGATAGCGAGTATCTTGATGATTTGGTGTCGGTTTCTGGAGATCATTTGAGTGCTGCTTCGTGTCTCAGTCGTATCTGCATTGCATTGGAGAGAAAATGGAACATCTTGTGAATTTGTTGCAGTCAGTAGCATGGTTTTTCTATGTTCTCTTTATATTTTGTTTTTGTTAATTTTTTCTTTATTTTCTGCGGTATAATTACTCTGTTAATTTGGATGATCCCTTTAAATTGCTTTTGAAATTCATACGAGGATGAAAATCTGGCACTCAAAAAAGAAGTTAATCTTGTGATCGAAAAAAGTACTCACAAACTTTGAGTTAAAATTTTGATGATAAAGGAATTTCTGAAGAAATTTAGAAACATGTATAAATAAAAAACTAGTTAACCAAGATGTTATATTTGCTTTCTTGTACTCAAATTCGAACTCTAATCACTCAAATTAGGAATATATGTCATCCTATAAGGAACTTGTAATCAATTTCACTCATGTATTCAACTTTCGAAGTCCCAAATTCGAATTTTTTTTGTTTATTTTTATCTCTTAATTTTATTTTGATTCATTTTATCCAATTAGAGGGTTTTTTTTTAACTAATTGGTCTCTGATAGACATACCTCCTTATTTTGTTTTATGTCAAAAAAATCAATATAAGTGGTCCTTGATTTTGTCCATCGTAAATCATTTTGGTCATTCCGCGAAAATTTATCAATATCTTCGTTAAATTGTCATGTGAACAACCACATGACGACCTCTTTAAGAGTATTTTTGTAAAACTAACTCCTTCACTTAACAAGAGTACTGACAAATTTTTCACAAAATGACTAAAATGATATATTGTGTATAAGATCAAAAATCATTTCTATCAATTTTCATTGTCAAAATTCATAATAAGTACGCTTATCTCAAACCCCATTTTAACTATAAAGTAATAGTTATTGTTTTGGTAAAAAATAGAGTAATAATTAGAGTATAAAAAGAGAAAAGAGTTGTGAAAATGCTGCGTTGGTTATTTTGTTTCTTTTGGGCCCAAGGCCCCAAAAGAAACCCAAGAAAAAAAAATTGAAAATAAAGGCCGCATTGGCTATTTACTCCCATACAAACTTCGGTTGCGGAAAATTACCGCCGTTGTCTTGCTTGCTCGTATTTCTCCGTGTGTCTTCTTCCTTCTCGAGATTTCGGCACTGTGCGGAGAAATCAGAACTCGTCGTTGATCCAGATTTTTGCGTTCTTGGAGGTAAGCCGACCTTTCCCAATTTCTATACCTTTAGGGATAAATTTCAAAGCGTACAACTTCTGGGTAGTTTTCCTAGAGATTTTAATCTACATAAACCAAAGTAACTTTGAAATTACAGAAATATTATATAGCTTTTTTAATTTAATCAGGTATAGGGGAAGTGATTAGAACTTGATTCTTGAAGCTTCTGAGCTGACATCCGAAAGAGGTTAGCTGGAAAGACGATAGATTTTTTTATGGGTTTGATTTTTTTTTTTGGATTTGGGTTAGATGGGTTTGGTACAATTTGTGTAGAAAGTTGCTTCCTTTTTGCGTTACAAAAATCTCAGTGATTAAGTGGATAGGTTTCTGATATTTTGCATCCCTAAACTCAATGAATTTACCATCAATTGGTCTATCAGTTAGTTGAGTTGAATGACCGAGTTCATTTTCGGGCTTACCGCGTTCGTTAACATTTTCATTTGGAGTGTAAATGGAGGCTGTCCAACTGCGGTCTGCGGTCAAGGGCGGAACTAGAAATATTTACCAGGGTAGGATGGTATGGTGCCTACTGTCTTGAGAGCTGCTAAGTTACAATTCGAGTAAAGAAATGTGGCCTTTAGATGTTGGATGGGTGAATTTCTGCTAGAATTTGGGGCTAGTATTGTTGGAGCGGAGCAATCTAGGAAACATATCTATATATTTATTTTGGTAGGCGTAACTAGTAACAAGTTACTAGGTTTTCAAATTGTCTGCACTGGCAAGATTTAGCATCTGTATTTAATTGTGATGTATTGGTTATTTGAAACTTCATGCAGTGCATTTACCTTCTCTTATTTTCTCGTCTCAAGACTCTCAACTTTTAAATACTCGAAATTTTCAGGGGAGGCTAGGGCGAATGGCAAAGTCTTGCAAGGGCCTAGCAACGGAATTGGTCAAATGTCTTAGTGAGTGTGACTGCGTTAAGGTTGAGAAGCGGTCATTTAGGGAGTGTGCTGGGGAAAAGAGTCCATCAATATCAAGCGAATGCATTGGTCTGAGGGAAACGTACTTCAATTGCAAAAGAGGGCAGGTTGACATGAGGGCCAGGATCCGGGGGAATAAAGGCTATTGAGCAATGGTAACGTTTACCAAATTGTGAAACAAAGTTTTGTAGTTCAGTTGAGGCTTATGTTTACTAAATTATGAAATAAAGTTTTGGTTCAATAGACTTTATTTCTTGTATTATGATTGATTCTGTTCCTACATATTAATAGTCTCATTGCAGTAACCTGCAAAATTTAGCCAAATCTGAAGACAAATTGTTAATAATGGCTTACCATTGTACTAAGTGATACCCATAGTTTGATCAAATGTATGTTTTGTGTTCTACTTGCACTTTCATTCCAACACTATTGGCACGCCATCTTCCAATTTGTAGCTGTTTATTATACTATGATCTTATATTTCGATATCCAAAATTTCTATTCATGTATCATTTTCCAATGTTTTTCATCACTGATTCACTTATATCCTTGATAGAGAAAAAGAATTATGCAAACCTTGGCCTAGCATATTTAACTGGTAAAGCCATTATATCATAATCTTTCCCATGTTTGATGCCTGTCCACGAGTTATTGTAGTTAAGTCCTATAGTTTTGGTACCGTGCGGAGGTTTTGATTGAGTTTTTCATTAAGATTTATCAATTCCTTTACAGGTTGAATTTTTAATTTTTTGGTAGCATGTTATGAAATAGAATGTGGCAGTGATGATGAATCAAGATCATGTACTGAGGCATTTACTATGATGATGTTTCAAGCACTTTTTGAGCCACATTTATATATGTAGTAGTGAGATAGTCACTGTGCCATTATAATTGAAGTTTTCCATTTTGTTTTTCCATATTTTTTAGTTTCTTTGTTTTAAGTCTCGGCACTATCAGAGATTATGGGCAATACTTACATCATTCGGACTCAAACTAAACGATAGCACACTATTCGCCTGTGATTGGATTTGAGTAATTTTGAACCTGAACTTTGGTAACTGGTTTTCCTCGTTATTTAATTTCCTGCTTATGTTCTTACAGCAGGCGAATAGTGTGTTATCGTTTAGTTTGTGTCTGAATGATGTAAGTCTTGGCAATCATCTTTGAGTTATTATGAGCATTATAACTTGTTCCAGGCTTGTGGGTTCGGAATAGCGAATACATTGACGAGTGGTGGTGTCACAGCAGAGGGGACCATTGTAAGATATCGATGGTCCTTGTTTTGTGCTTGTGATGATTTGTGATAGGCAACTGCCATGCTTCTTTCGGGCTGTGCATGGTTTGCTTACTTGTCTGTGCTGTTCCCCTTTCCGCCTTCTTTCTGGTTCCTTTTCGTGTTTCCAACTTTCCACAATTGCAAATGCATCTGTTGTGATTTTCTTATGTTCCGCATGGAACGGGCAGCATGTCGTGGAATGCATTTATAGGTGAAAGTCGTATTCACGGCTTTTACATCTGTTCAGGCCTTAAGCTCCGGGTAACAGTGTTCGCTAATTCCATTTTTTATTTCTTTAGTTTCGTATGAAATGTAAGGGGATATTTGTTTGTCGTTAAAATATCATATACTTGGAGGAGAAAATAACTCGTAGAGTAATAAAAGATTTGTAGTCCGTAATTTTTAGAATGTGCCAAATTTTTTTTGTGTGGTCTTTGAGGTGAAATTGGAGGAAAGATAAGAGAAAATTAGATACGGTGGTTTGGACATGTGAAACGAAGGCCTATTGACGCTTCGGTTATTAGATGCGATTACGGGACAAAGTTTCAGGGCCGAAGGGGTAGAGGAAGATCTAGGAAGAATTTGAAAGAGACTTTAAGAAAATACTTAGAGTACTTAGATCTAACAGAAGACGTGGTACAGAACCGAGTGAAATAGTGTTCTAAGATTCATATAGTCGAACCTACCTAGTGGGAAAAACTTTGTTGTTGTTGTTGGTCTTTGAGGTGAAATTGCACTTTCAATGTGAACCTTGTGGTTTAAATTTTTTTAATTAAATTCATGTGGCGTGCCCCGCTAGCATGTGCGCCTCACATGCGGGTTAAAATTAAGAAAAACTAATAAAAATGATTTGAAAACTTTAAGGTTTAACGATAAGGACAAAATAAAAGGTAAAGTGAATAGTATTAGGATGAATTTTTTAGTGTAAAAATATAATTTTTCGTTAAAGTAAACAGTACCGAAAGTTTTTCGTTAAGGTTCTTTTAAAATTATCCTTTCGATCTAAATTTTTGAAGCCCAACTCATCTAATATTAGTTCGCCCTTCACATGTGCAGCTTCAATTTTTGAGTGAATGGTTTCACCATCAACGACCAACTCTGGAGGCATATACATCATCTAGCAACATCAGGGTTTGTAACCTATTTTTTAGTCAAATGTTTAGATTCACAATTCGATTTCGTTCACTTTGAGCCGCAAGCCTCAAGCCTCTCGATTTCTGTCAAATTCCCAATCTCAATGGAATCCTACGTCACCCCAAACTCGTAGATGTTTTGGCTTCATCGATCAATCTTTCCTGAAGGACAATTTCAACCTTGCTTGTGCTTTTGTTTAACCGAGGACTAACAGAAGTTTCGGCTCACCACAAGAGTTTAACTAACAATTATTTTACCACGAGAATCACATTAAAAGTGCACTGTCGCCGCATGGAACCATGAAAAAAATTTGGCCTTGAGATTGTTTCTAAAGGCAGAAGGGCAACTTCCTGGTTGTCTGTTTCGAGAGATTTTTCAGTGTGATCAGTACACAAGATGATATATCACGTGTCACTAAACAAATAGTGGGATATGTATGCTAAAAAGTTAATAACTTAAAAAATAAAATTTTTCATCATTCCTATTAAAACACATGGTGTACCCCTTGTGTTCCGTTACAATTAAAAATCTCTGGTCTGTTTCATGTGGCGCTGAAACGTTCTACGTAACCTGTTTCTTTCCGTTGCTTTTGCTTCGTCGTTTTGTACGCATGCTTCCATCCCCCAAAAGCCGAAAGCCCAAAAGCGCAAGTCGAAACCCGCAACACAAGCAATTGAAATATGGAAAAAATACCGTTCCGTCTGACTTGCATTGTGCCTTCCAATTCCATATTCCAAGTTCCACAAGCCGTCGATGGAGAAAATATCCTCGTTCGTAAATTCCCAGAGAGAAAATTATCCCACGAAACACACGTCCACACGTGTCCGGTCTCGAATCGGATGGTGCCAACATGCAGAGCACGTGCCGACAGCGACTCATTACATTAGAGGGTCTGGTTTGGTTTTGCTACGTCCAAATTGTTGGCAAGAATTCAAAGTTCAAAACCAACCTCTCCAAGCAAAAGGAAAAAGAGAATGCTTATTCCATGCAAAGACAAATACCAGCTAAGATGCCACGAATCTTCTGTTTATCTCCAAACGACGAACCACACTAGCTACAAACTTATATATATACCCACCGAAACCAACCAGTAAGTTTCATTTGTGTTGTCAAAGGAGCAATGGCAGCCGCTAGATTATTGCGCACGTTGAAGCCCATGACTTTTCATTCCTCCTCTTCTTCTCCATCTTCTCCGTCATCAACAGCACTGAAGTGTTCGAGCATGGCCGGAAGATTAAACGGAGGGAAGAAACTTGCTAGGACTGATAATGATAGTCATCATAGGAAGAAAAAACATACGGTGGCTGTGAAGGTGTCGAAAACCACATTGGCGGAGCCACAAGTTGAGAATAAGGGTGGACTACTCGTAGATTTGGCTTCCCTGGTCGGAAAGGCCACCCGTGCTTTGCCTATTCTACTGAGAACGGCTCTCAAACCAAAGTCTTTGAGACAGCAAGTCCAGATGTTCATTGAAAGGGTACATATGTCCGTTACATTCTTGTTCTCAGTTGTCAAAATTTATTTATTTTTATTTGGTAATTTAGAGTTACTTATATATACTTTATTTGTGCAGGGGATAATAGATTGCCGATTCTTTACGTTACTTGCAGTTGCGGGATCTTTACTCGGTTCAGTACTATGCTTTGTAGAGGTGAAATTTCCATTTTCCCTTTTTAATTGATTACATTGGAGGAAATCGAGCCTTGAAACTAGTTTAGCATTAATCGACACGTCCTTACATTCAACGTTTATATGAATGCAGGGTTGCTTGATTGTTCTAGAGTCATATTTCCAGTATTTCCATGCCTTGTCGCACAAGACGGATCAAGGCCATATGGTGCATCTTCTTATTGAAGCCATTGGTAAGTAAAGTACCCACATCCACATATGTGATATTCATCCTAATTATGCCTAATTATAATTTACTAATGATTAATACTTGTGATTTACAGATATGTTCTTGGTAGGAACCGCCATGCTTATTTTTGCAGTTGGGTTGTATGCCATGTTCGTGGGGTCAAAGGCCGCGAAAGAAAAGGGACAGCAGTTTTCCGACTCAAATTTGTTTGGTCTCTTCTACATGAAGGTAGCTTTCAGTAACTTTCTACATACATAACGTAAATATCTTCTAATATTTGTACCAACATAGATATCATTTCTAATTCATGTAATTATTATAAACATTTCAGGCACCTCCAGCATGGGTTAACATGGAATCAGTTTCGCAAGCGAAATCGAAAATAGGGCATGCGGTGGTGATGATACTGCACGTGGGACTTCTGGACAAGTTCAAAAGCATACCTCTCGTGACGCCGCTCGATCTTGCTTGCTTTGCTGGATCTGTGCTTCTTTCCTCTGCTGGTATCTTCCTTCTCTCCAGACTCTCTACCACTACGAAACCCCCAACTTCCGGCTGTGACGGAGTCAGAATTTTAGCTCAAGAGGGACCAAAAGTCTCATCCTAAAATGCTCTTCTGATCTAAAAAAAATAAAAATTTGCCATGTCCTAACTACCGACCACTATCATTTGAATTTGGTATGATGCCATTCTTGTCATCCTCTTCCTCACCTGAACCCTCATGCCCAGTACCCCGACTCAGATTCAAAATAAAGAGAGGGGAATAGAAAAATAAGAAAAAATAGAAAAAGCAAAAGTGATAATATTAAAAGACTTCAAGGAATAAAAACTTAAAAACAAAAATAAAAATAAGAACTAGCTCTCTCGTCTATTTCCCCTTTCTCTTTGGATCACATGAGCCCCTCAAAACTCACAGTGAAATACCCACGAGTGACAAATGGAATCCATTGAAAGAAACAAGGAAAGATTCTAGTTTTTTTTGAAATCAAAAGATAACTCTAGGTTTTTTTGTGTGAATAAAATGTCAAGGTAAACCCGGGATCTATTTCCCTCGTGGCTCCGCCCCTGGCTACTGGTGTACATGGAAGATAGATCATACAACTAACTGGTGACGGTGCCCACAAACTACTGGATTGGTTTATTAATTTATAACCCCATTCCTTTTTGTTGTATATACTGAGCAATATATACCGATACGTAGCAATACTCATCGAAATATTATATTTCTGTAAGCGAAAAAAGAATTATACTTCACACAGCAAGGGAAGATGATTTGGTTAATTAAAAGCTAGCCCTTCGATACTATAGATATTGTAATTCAACCATGATGAAAGTGTTGGAAAATATTAGTATTTTATGATTATTTGAGTTTGCTTGTTAGTTAATATATCGGTCTAATCCATCAGAATTAGGGTTTCTAGGTTTTGCTCTATATATAGCTTATAGTTTAGCATAAATAACATGTTAGTTACGATGTAGTCTTTTGAGATTTTGTAGCCGTTTCAGCATTCTCAATCTGTTTAATAATATTCTTATTATTTTGTAATCTTGTTCAGTCTAATATTTAACTTGATGTCAGAGCAGATTTGATTATTCGGGATTTAATCTGCTTCTGTTCGTTATCAGTGTTTGTCTTTTTCCAGTTTCGATTCGTGGAATATTTTGTTATTCGTGGAATATTTTGTTTTCTGGTTTGTTTTTTGGTTGTCATCCATAGTCGAAAAAAAAGAAAAAAAAAAAAAAAAGAGGACGTTTCTGGAGTTGAAGTTTGGACCTGTGCCGACGCTGGATCGAGTCGATCCATCATCTGCTATTGTTCCTGTATACGCTGTTGCCTGTAATCCCGACCAGTTTCCGCTGCCGTGCTGAACCCACCACCAGCCATCAGCCTTCGTACCGGGCCTGCCCCCTTCATCCGTATGTGAGCCATTCCACATACGCCATCGTTGCACCACTGTACCCATTGTATGCACACCTCCGTTGAATCCACTGCACTCGCAATTGTATTGTTTGTTCTGGAGAAAACCACTGCCCAGAAAGGAAGGTTGAAGGGAAAAAGAAAAGAAAACCGACGAAAAGAAAAGAAAATCTTTTTGGTTGTTTGTTTTTAGGCCCACACGGGCAAAGAATTAAAAATGGTTAAGTTTGATTTAGGCCCACACAAGTTGTTGGCTTTGTTTTGAAGTTGGGGGTATCTGCCGTTGCCGTTCGTAATGAACTCTCGAGTGTTTGGAGTGTTAACCTCTAGAGTGATAGTTGCTAGAATTTTTTGGCGTTGTTCGTTTGTTGGTACAATTGAGATATGAAAATCTCATTCATTTAGTGATGGGTTCTTTTCATACTCTTAACACTAGTCAGTCAGAATCAATTCGCCAGTTCACTAGTTTACACGTTCGTCAGTCAAGTCACAAGTTCACTAGTCAAGTCAAGCTCGCCAGTCGAGTCAAGTTAAGTTAAGTTTGTATACATGCCAGTCCGCCTAACGGAGCTAGTCCACATTTGCTTGTTTGCAAACCCATGTCGTATACCGCCATGAGTTTGACGAGGAGTGTTGGAAAATATTAGTATTTTATGATTATTTGAGTTTGCTTGTTAGTTAGTACATGGGTTTAGCCCATCCGAATTAGGGTTTCTAGGTTTTGCTCTCTATAAATATAGCTTATAGTTTAGCATGAATAACATGTTAGTTATGATGTAGCCTATTGAGATTTTGTAGCCGTTTCGGCATTCTCAGTTTGTTTAATAATATTTTTATTATTTTGTAGTCTTATTCGTTGCACACTCCGATATTCAACTGAAAGTATAAACTAGCCCTTCTTTTTCTCTGGCTTCTGTGTGTATACTTATATTCCCTACAAATAAACAATTCAATTACTTGTAATCAAATATTATTATTGTTAGTGTCCTTCCAATCTTACGAGAATTTGGTTTGTTTGCATATTGCATGCAATGCAATCAAACCAAATTCTCAACGATGAAGGATAGGACCCTTCCAACTACCAGATTATGAGCTAGTTAGTAGCTGGTTATGCACCTCAATAGTTAGGCTTGACAACCAAAAATTTGGTTTCATCAAATTTCTTGAAATAAATAATAATCTGTTGGTAAACCAACCCCTATAAACCTCCGAGTCCAAATAAGAGGCAACAAGCCAAACAAAGAATCAGCAGAACAGGCCGTGGACTATTAATCCTCTAGATCCACAGGTACTCAAAACATGAATTAGAACAAACATTGATTTACAAAAGCATATTATTAAAAAGAGTGAACGCATCACGATATGCATATATTGCAATCGGACCACATATGATGATTGCTTATTTATTTTGAATACTTGGATATAAAAGTCTCATGTAAAAGGATTAGCCAACAAAAGCTTTGTACTACCTCCTACAACTACAATTACTTTCCTCTTCTGAGATTATAAGCAGCGTGAACACATCATTCGCATAGCTCAAACGCAGAACCCGCCGGAAGGAAGGGAAATCCATCCAAATTGTTACACTGGTCTCAAGGTCAATGCTTGTCAATTAATCCCAGAGGCATTGTCCACCTCTGGAAGGCCATTCTCCAACGCTCTAACCAGCTTCTCAAAATAGTTCCCGGTCACCTTCGTCAGTCCTATGAGCTTTAAACGGAATTCCTGGAAACTTTCTGGAGGGCCCTCAGCATAGATTAACTTTTTCACCTCTCTCTCTCTCTCTCTCTGCACATTTGTGAAGCCTCTCCAGGCTAAACTCCGCATAGCCTTGCAAGTGTTCGAAGAACTGCACCTTGAAACGCTCATCCTCCGGAATTAAGTAGCCGTACGCGTAAGTCCATTGCAACACCTGCCTACTTTCAATGATCTGTTGCCATGCCTCTACAATGAACCTGAGCTGACACTCCAGTTTACATTGCGCGTACTCTGCACCTTATGTAAATCCTCAATAGCTTTTCGCTTCGAATACCGATTGTTTGCCCATCGTTCGTAATAATGAATGTATCTCCCCAAGTATATCTTTGCCTTCTTTTTATCACTCTCAGCTTCACTGTCAACAACAGGATGGTAAACATATCGATTGCAACACCCATACATTACATTTGGCTCGAGGCAATACCAGCAAAATCTAAAATAGCAAGGTGGTCTGCAGGTCATAGTATTACACCCTTGGTTCTTCTCAATCGGTCTTTTGCACTTGGGGCAAGGCTTGGTATTCACTAGTATCCACTGCACATTATGTGAATCGTCTTTGTTCTTCAAAATCCACTTTCCCACCGTCCTGCAGTTTACAGGACGATGAATCTCCTCACAACAATTCCAGCATAAACTGTTTGAGCAAAGACATGTAACGTCATAACTACCATTCATCCCGGTATCATCATCATCAGCATTGCCGTTGTACTCAACAGCATAACAGCAATCAGGAGCAGGACACCACTTGATCTTCCTATGACCCTCAAAGTAGGATCTTAAAAGGAAGTGTTTATACCTCTCATAATCTTCCCGGGTTGTCAATACGCCGATTAAATCCGGACCAACAGCTGCGCCACAAGGCGGTTCAGGACATTTCAGCATCAAACACGCAAGACCTGTTGGAAAATCAAATCAAAACAGGTTGTTAATGGTTAAAGCAAGCTGTTAGTTTCTTTTCAGGTTGTTTCCAGCAACTACAAAGATCATTGCTCCCTCCATCTGTTAGCCGAAAGCTGATTACAAGACAGCAGTGTGCTGCCATGTGATGTATTAGCTGAAAGAGTGTTGATTGCAAGCTGGAAAGATAGCTGCATATGAGTGCTAGACTGTCCAAAGTTCTTGCATGTGTTTTAAAGGGTGTAAAGATGTTAAACACCCCATTCATTGCATGTGTTGTTGCATTGTTTATTAATTTCTGTTTTGTATAAATAGGCCATCTTGCTAAGCTTTAGATCATCCCATCCGAATCCCATTTCCCATTCATTTAATTTCAGCTTGTAAGCTATTGAGTTTGTAAACTCTCTTTTCATATATCTAAGTGCAAGTGTTTTACCAAAGCTTGTTGCTTCCCTCCTTTCTCTATTTCTTTATATCTCTATTTCTTTCCTTGTCCAATTTTATTGAGAGTGAAAGTGAGAGGTGTGATAGAGTTTGTAAACTTATCACCCACATCTATTTTGGTATTGAGTTAGCAAACTCTTGTGAATACCAACAAGACCGTCATCGATTGAAGTGCGAATGTAACCTGTCCAGCAATTTCGACAAAAAGGATGACCGCAAAAAGTAGACGAAACACTTTCGCATTCATATGCATATTCATAAAAACATATTCCACAAGTAATTATATCTCTGGCATTGAATTGAACCACTGTTTTTTTCATTAACCCTACCTTTTCGCGGACTTTTATCCTCGTCCAAAAACCACTCCTCGTTAGCCCTACTAACCTTCCAATTGAAGTGAGGGAGAAGAAAGCATGCGGCGTATTTCGGTAGGGAAATGACATCAGACACTTTGTTGATATCATCCTCTTGAATTTGGCGAATCTCTTCTTCATTCAAAACAGTGTAATGTAGGGTTTTCGACTGACAAGTGTCAACCAACTCATACCGATCTTCTGTGTCAATGTTGTCGTCGTCGCCATCCTCTTCTTGTTCTTCAAGAAAGCCAGAGTCGTCAACGTCACAAGGACTTTCATCACCGCCATTTTTCTGATCATGCAGTCTGCGTTTCTTGTCCATGCGAATCGTCCAGGGGAAAGGGAATTGGAAGAAGGAAATGAAGGAAATGAGAGGGTGATTGTGGAGAAATTTTTCCTGGTACCCGCACATCTGCTGATATGGAGTTCCCCACTAATAAATGTTTGACACTTGTCCTATGGTTAATGATTTTGTTGAAATACCTATTTTATCCTTATCTTTATTTGTAGAAAGTAATTATTAAAAAAAAAAAAAAAGAATAAATTGTAACAAAGATCTAACAACTTTAATTAAATTAGAGCAATTGTCCCTCAACTAAAAATCTAGTACCATTGATCTCCCAACTCATCAAAATGTGTAATTATGGTCATTTTCGTCAACTTCGTTAGAATTTTGTCAAAATGATTTATGTTGAAATGATCATTACTACAATTACAATTAGGATCCCTCAACTCATCAAAACGTGTAGCTATAGTCTTTTTCATCAACTTCATCAGAATTTTGTCAAAATGAGTTATGTTAGAAGGACTATTGCTGCAATTGGGTTTAGGTTAAGGAACTATTGCTCCAATTGAGTTAAATTTGAGAGATAATTTCTTCAGTTAAATTAAAATTGAGGGATCCATGATAATGTAATTTTAGTTGATGGACTATTACTTCAATTAAATTAAAATTAAATACCCTACAATTTACTCTTAAAAAAAAAATAAAAAAATAAATAAAAATAAAAAAATAAAAAAAGAGGAAAAAGATGAGATTATTCCGTCCACCGTCACACCCATCCCCCCGACCCATCCCGCCATTCCCCTCACCTCTCCTTTCCCTTTCTTTCTCTATCCTTCTTTTTCTCTCTTTTTTCCCTTTTTATTTCTTCTCCTGCGCCCAAAAAAGAACACAAGGGATGATGGCGACCTCAGCAGCTGATAGATCGGGATTGGATAACGCCAGTTAAATCACCGGCCAATGATGGAGGTGAGTGCACTGGATGGTTGATCGCTGTCGTAAGATTGGAGAAATTTTTAGTTGTGATGGAATATAAGACGTATTTTTATCTAAGTAGTGAAAAATTTTAATTTTTAAGTTATTAACATTTTAACACACATAACTTATCATTTATATAGGAACATGTGGTGTACCACATCGTGTGATGTTCACACTGAAAAATCTCTAGTAAGATTAAGGGTAGCCATGAGTTTTTGATTTTTTTCTTTTCGAGGTAATTTTTGAAACAGCTAGCATTTTTTGAGATTTTAAAAAATAAAAATATAAAGGTGTTAAAAGATTATTGGTGGAACTCCATTTCAGCATATGTGCCAAGTACCTGGAAAAATTTCTCGTGATTGTGGGAAGGCAGTTGGAAGCGGTTTCTCTTTCAATTAGGGGTAGGGACTTGAAATTGAAAATCGAAACCAAAACACGAACCAAATTGGACCGCATCGAACTATTCGGTTTTACGGTTTTGAAACTGAACCGCAGTGTTATAAACGATTTGGTTTCGATTTTGACTTTTGAAAACCGTACCTCAAATTAAATATAATGTTTTAATTGATTATTTGTTAAAGTTCATAATTTTATCATGAACTCAACACTATTCGACAGATATTATCACTCATCAGTCTCTCTCTTACCTAGCTCTGCATGCTAAGGAGAAATTATATATATAAAAAAAAAGAGAGTAAAAACTATATATATTTACCACTCCTCTGGACCATATGAAATGTGATTTTATATGTTCATGAAAAATGAAATGATCAGCCATTATAGTAGCTGGAGCCTGGCGTGCTTGCATCCCTACAAAATGTTAGCTTTGATTTCTCATCTGGCGCAGATTGTAGAAGAATTTGCTACATGTTTGAATTTATCTTTGATGAAGTTTTGTGCAATTTTAAAATCGCATCGAACCGAATCATGCCCACCTCTACTTTTAATTCTGACTACAACGAGAGAGAGCTCATATATTGAGAGAAGCTGCTCTCAGTGCTGACAGAGGTCTTTGGTTTTATGATTTTCATTAGGGTTTTTAACTTATTATTTTAATTTGATTTAAGGGCCAAATGGGAAAATGTGAAAGATTTTTTATGTTGGGGGTGTGAAAACTATTTTTTGCTAATTTGGGAAGATAACTATTGGGTTTATTTTATTTTATTTTTTTTCTTTTTCCGATTTGAGGGGTTAGTAATTTAATTAAGGTATTAAGCAACGGTTTAATTAAGCTGTGTAATTTAACGGTTTCTGATGAGCTTGAAAGAGTGTTTGAAGTTTATTTATTGCTTTGCGATTAATGTATAACTAAGTTGAAAATGTTAAGGCCCGAGTTAAAAGACTAATGGCTGGTACAAGGTTGCTCAGATTTTTCTTGATCAATCAGATTATTGTATCAATCAGATTTTTCCCGGCTCTCCAAACTGAGGCTAAGGCCGCCCTCCTGGCGGTCGCCTCGGCAAATGATAACGGTTTCTTCGATGTGGCCTTTGAATGTGATTCTCTGGAACTCATTAGCAACATCATCCCAAGCATGGAATTGGACCATATTTCCTCCGTTAACCAAAATCCGGAATCTTTCTCATTGTTTTCAGTCAATTAGATGGCAATGGATTCCACGTCAAGCGAATGGTGCAGCCGATTGGGTTGCTTCGCAATGTAAAAGAAGGATGCGCACTAACGTTTGGGTCATTAGGCCCCCATCCTCTCTAGTTCATATTTTGTCGAAGGATGGTCTCCCTTGCCTCCCTTAATTTGTACTGGCTGAGATAGGTGAGGTTAGCAGATTGGACCTCAGCCTCGCTACCAGGTCGTGCTCTGCTCATCTCCCCTGTCTTAGCTTTGGGCGAGACCTTCTGTTGTTTTTCTTCCTCTGTCTTTCTGCTTTCGTTTGTAAGTTCTCTTTGTCCAAAAAAAAGTGATAACCGACGGCCATCGAGTACAGCCCATGATCTATCTCAAAATAATATCTTTGGCAAGCGTCTATGATTTGCCCCATCCCCAAATTGATAGAGAACCCTAACTTTGAACCATCCACATTGATTCGTCAGTCAGATCTTATTATAATTTAAAAAACTAATACAAATATCAAAGAAGATATTTGGATTTCATCTAAGAGGTCCTCAATCCGAAAAGACTTAAGCAAAACATAAAAGACCAATTTGGCCATATTAGTTGCCACCGTATTAGTGAATTTAAGAGCGAGATATATCTGAAGATAAGCAAAAGCGCATCCAAGTATTGAAATCATCCACGCTCAAACTCAAGGGAATGAGATGGGACTTCAAAGTCAGGGGAACACCATTCCTAATGAAAATCAGACACTTGGCCAATTGACATGAGAAATTCCACACATAGAAACTACAATAACGGAAATGAAAACACTCTCTGACAATTAGTAGGAATGACTCTGAAAGGGAATTGACAAATGAACCAACTAGTGTCCATACCAAGTGCTCAACTTCATCAATGAAGCTACTAGAAACATCAAAGTAGACCTAAGAGGAGCCGATAACAAACCAAAATTAAACAAAAATATTCATTTGGCGAGACTCACAAATAACCTCACCAAAAGAGGCATTTATCGACAAAAGAGTAAAACAAAAATCAAAGATGCAGCAATTCATGAGAAGATGATGAAGAAAGGCTACGAGAATAAGGACAGTGGCTGCCACCGGTCTCCAATCAAATAAGGAGTCTGCGGCCATGAATTTTGTAGACCAAGGATTCTGATAGGAGGAAGGAGAGGAAGATTTGATAATTCGACACAAGACTTACATAGAAGTGATGTTTCACATTGGTGATTTTGGTGCTCTTAAAGATTCATTAAGGGCCACATACAAGTAATTCCCATGTTTTGAAACAAAATCACTTATAGTGCTATGTAAATCTTCCGGTTCATCTTTAATAAAATTACTTGTATATATAGTGTGATTTGACGGGAAGAAAAAAAAAATTTCCCTTACAGGGAGAAGAATGCTTCGCAAAAACCTCATTTCCAAATTCAGTTTCTGCGTTTTATTTGTATTGCAGATGAGTGTACGATGACATTTTTAAAGTGGTGTTGTTACCTCCTACACTCTGCTAGTGATTTTGCTATTTTCATAACTCCCAATGAGATATCAAACATAACATTTATCAATGGCAAACAGAATTTGATTAGAAGAAATATACTACACAAAAGGTTTCATACCGAACAAGAAACGAAATGAAACTTCCTAAACAAGTTACCTATCTCATAACAAATCATCTAAATTGGAGTCCATTAGATCATAAATAAATGGGGGAGGAAACCAGAGAGCTAGTTAACGCCTTCTCAGGAGTCATGACACACCTCTCCAGGGTCCATGTTACATTGGAGAACAAGCATTCAGAAGTGGCACACTGGTCACATGATCAAGACTTGTGAATCCCCTGTATGTCCAATTCAGAAAGATCATTCTCCAACGCTCCAACCAGCTTCTCAAAATAACTTGCAGTCACCTTTGTCAGTCTTACGAGCTTTATACGAAAGTCCCGGAAACTTTCCAACGGACCTTTAGCAAAGAGAAACTCTTTCATCTCACTCTCAGCACATTTGTGAAGCCTCTCCAGGCTGAACTCTGCGTGGCCTTGCAAGTACTCGAATAGCTGAATCTTCAGTTCTTCATTCTCGGGAATGTAGTACCCGTATGCATACGTCCATCGCAATACCTGCCTACATTCAATGATCTGCCGCCACGCCTCTACGATAAACTTGAGCTGAAGCTCCGATTGACATTGTATGGCGGCAAGCTTCATAATGTCCTTGCTCTGCACATTATGTAAATCCTCTATTGCTTTTTTCTTCGAAGACAGATTGTTTGCCCATCGTTCATAATAATGTAGGTATTTCTCCACGTATCTCTTTGCCCTCTTTTTATCCCTCCCAGCTTCAACCTTGTCCGGGTCAGTTCCCGTATATTCATCAGTTGCCCTGTTATATCCATTGCAGCATGTATGTCCAGTATAATTCTCGAGGCAATACCAGCAAAATTCATACCTGCAAGGGTTTGCGCAAGTCATATGATTACACCCGTTGTTCTTCTCGATTGGTTTCTTGCACTTGGGGCAAGGCTTGGTATTCCCAAGTATCCACTGCGCATTCATCGAGTCGTCCTTGTTCTTCGAAATCCAATTTTCCACAGTCTTGCAGTTCACAGGACGGTGAATTTCCTCATTGCAATTCCAGCAAAACCCGTACAAGCAAAGGCACGAAACGTCATAGCTTTTGGTTCCACCTGCATTGAATTTCACAGCGTACATGCAATCCGGTGCAGGGCACCACTTGATCTCCCTGCGCCCTTCAACGTAAGATCTCAAAAGGAAGTACTTATACCTCTCATGATCTTCTCTTGTCGTCAAACCCTCGATTAAATCCGGTCCAACCGCTGCCTTGCAAGACGGTTCGGGACATCTCAGCACCATCAAACACGCCGGACCCTCATCTATCGCTGATTTAATATAACCTGTCCAGCAATCCCGACAAAAGGGATGACCGCAAACAGCGAAAAAAACATCCTTTGATCCATACTGATGATCATCAAAACATATTCCGCAAGTAATCAAATCTGTGGGATGGAAACTAACCACGGGCTTCCTCAACAACCCTACCTTCTCTCTGACTCTATCTTCGTCGGCGAACCACTCCTCGTTGACTTTGCCGACGCTCCAGTTGAAGTGTGAGAGGAGGAAGCATGCAGCGGATTTCGGTATGGAAAGGATAGTAGAAACTGTTGTGATATCTTCCTCCTGCAGTTGGCGAATATCTTCCTCTTTCAATATGGCGTAGTTTTGATATGGATTATGAGACGAATCAGTACTTTCGCTGAACTCGTAGTGATCGGTGCTGTCGATGCTGTCTTCTTGGACAAAAGCAAATTCATCATCGACTGCGTCGTCTTCTTCTTCTTCAAAACGTTCTGATCGATCTGATTCTTCATCGCTGTTTATGACGATGTAGTTGTCGCCGTTCCGGTTGCGTTTCTTGTCCATGGTATACAGAAACCCTAGAGATTGTTTTATTTGATTCCTTCCGTTTTATTCTTTCGCCGATAGCGATGATTTCGACAAATAGATCGTTTCTTTCGGAACGATCAGCCCTCTACGGAGTCACCGCAGTCGATGTGATCCCGAGATAAGATGGGATGGACGGTGGATGAAGGAGGATGAGGCACTGATGCCTGATTAGGTATTTATAGCGACGGAGAGTTGCTCTGTGTCTACTCTTCTACTGGAATTGAAGAGATTTTTAATGTAACTGGTACATGAATGATACATCACGTGTTATTATACAAATAGTAAGATATGTGTGCTAAAAAATTAATAACTTAAAAAATAAAATTTTTCACTACTTCTTTTAAAACACGTGATTTTCCCGTCACAATTAAAAATAACTGAAGCTTTATCAGTGGTATTGCGATTCTTTATGCCGTTTTGAAGTTTTGCCCCACCAACAGGCCCATAACCAAGTTGGAGAGAACCACTGTGGAACGGCCTAATGATTAGAGATGAATTTCAGACCCATATTCGAGACTGCACGTCTAGATTCGATTCCTGACGCTTGAAATGCATTTGTGAGTCTTTCTGGCTCCCGAAAAAAGTGAAATAGTGTGACGAAGCCACTAGGTCTCCTTTTTAATTTAAAAATAAAAAAAATAAAAAAATAAAAAAAAAGTTGAGCTCTGATTTTTGCAAAAGTTTGCATGGTCGATAGAAGTTAGACAAGAGTGGAAGAAAAGGAGTTAGCCACGATAGACGTCCTTTTTCTTTCACTTTTTGTTTTTTTCCATCACTCCACGGAATTAATGGTGGAGGAGTTGGAGATAAGGCGAAGTGGAAGCAAAGGGCCAATAATTCCATGGAAAAAGAGAGTTTGGAGATTGGTGCGGTGAGGTTGCTGGTTGAATTGCCACTGGCGACCGAGTTATTAAAAATTTCTCATCGGTATATGCACTTCTTTCAGTTTTTCATTTGCTTGTATAAAATGTTCACGATCATCTCCAATCCGTGGATCAAAATCCAAAATTTTTAACTTGAAAAATTTAAGTTATAATTTAGAATCACTATCACCACTTCCACTACCGTGTCACTATCAACAAATGTTTCAAAAACACAAGTAACAAACCAATATCAGAAGACAAGGTTCGAACAAGTCGGCTCGTTTTGGTCCCAATCTTTTCCGAACCTCGTCTTCCTCCTCAAACCACTTGTCAAACAACTTACTTGCGTTCCAATCACGGCGGCGGAGTAAGATGATCGCCGCGGCTCTTGACACGAAGAGTGTTGAGCAGATATCTGTAATATCACCGAGTTGGCGTTGGCTCATGTCTGCTTGTTTCAAGATTGTGTAGCGAAGCGGTTGCGACGCCGTTTGATCGTCTCTGAGGAATCTGTTGGAGTAGTGAGTAGAATCCATGGTGGAGGAGTTGGAGATAAGGCCGAGAAGTGGAAGAAAAGGACCAATAATTCCATGGAAAAAGAAAGTCTGGAGGTTTGCTGGTCCACGACCGACTTTTTAAAAAGCTTCTCGTCAGTATATGCATTTTTTTTCAGCTTTTCATTTGCTCGTACAAACAACAATGACGTTTCATGCTAATAAAATGAGGATACGTGATGATAAATGAACACATATCGTTACATTATAAGCATAAGACGCTACTGTGAACTATGACATGCTCGAAAAATCGACATTTTTTAATAAATCAAATTACCAGAAAATGTTTCCGGAAAATGAAGCAAAAAGAATGGAAAGGAAAGATTATGCAAGCTAAGTTCATCCCTCAAAAGAAGCTGTCAAGATATGCAAGGCAAACTCTCGCTTTACATGGTAGCCAAAAGGTCTCTCAGTTCTGCTACGGTGAGAAAGGTCTCTGTCGGGTAAATCTTGGCGACGAGTTGAGCAAAAGTTTCATACTTCTCAAGGAATTCCTTCTGTCAAAATCCGCGACATTCATCAGATATTTTCAATGGGAAGGTGAAGGAACTGTTTGCGAAGAAACTTTTGTTACGTACCTTGCATTTTTCCCATAAAGAAGGCAGCAGTTCTTCGGAAGTCATGTTTTTCTGCAACTTCTTGTACATTGCAGTGATGGACTTGTCAAGCTGTACATCCATGAAAGTGTTAGAAACGAACATTCACAGATGAAACTATTTCGGATAGGTAAATCAACTCACCCCGTATAAGCTTGATTTTAACACCTTCCGCAGATCCGCCTTTGACAACCCAAGCTGGAAAGGGATCTGCAATTTGTGAAGGAAATGAATATCAGCCATTACATTCAGAAAATTAAGACTTCGAAAATAAATATCTCCACGTAAATCATTCGGGCAAATTACACTATACAGTCCATTCGCAGGATGGGGCTCAATATTCTTCATGGTGTAAAGATGTACTAATCAATGGACACAGTTTCATTTTCACGAGTAGTATGACGTAATTAAGAGTGGTTTCATTTTTTCACTTGTTTTTCAGATAGATATTTGAGATCCATCTCAGCCGTTTACACACTAACCTCTTCTGGTGCGATTGTAAACATCAAATCCTCTATTTTTCGAGCAAACTGGAAAAGCCGTTCAAATTGCTGCCAAAAGAAAACACAACGAGGGTAAATGTCACCAAAATAGATCTTCCCTTGAGAAAACTGCTGCGTCTATATATATGAACATAATTCTACAAGGAACAAGGGGTGGGGTGGGAAGAAAAAATTATATAAAGATTTGGCATCAGGATAACTCACAGTGTATATGATCATGCTGTTATGGCGTGTGCAAGCTTGTTCATAAGCTTCACTTGCCTGGTGATAAAATTTGGCCAAGGTGGGCACAACATTTGCTAGGTCATACAAACTGCAACCAAACAGCTTCCCATAAAAAATGGTCAACGAAAAAAGAAAGCATTGATCATAGTAGAAAGGAAAAAGAAGAATACCTATTCTGAAATGCAGCATAGTTCTCTAATAGAAAAAGATCAGAATATTTTGGCTCTGTTTGTGCAATTTTCTCCAAAGTCACAAACATAATGCTAACCTGTCAAACAATTGATCTAACGTAAGAAAATGGAGACGCAGTTCTGTTAAAACATCAAACTGATAGACAATCAAATGTTATCATCATCTATCTTCACACAGCCAATAGACTGCAAGGTTTAGAAAAAAGAACGTTGCCCTCTGAATTCAAACTTGAGTAATCAGTGTGATAACTAAAAATAAGCTTTAATGGAATAGTACATAGGAAGAATACTAGCATGGTGTATAATTGAAGCATAATTTTAAGAAAATCTTCCTCATACTGCTTGAACCACCATATTGCTGGTGAACCCAGCAAACAAAACCATTAAAATCAACGGTTATTGATTATGCTGTATACCATGATATCTGATAATCATCACTTTCTTTGCATTATACTACCAATGACGAGAATAATTTTCAGAAAAAAAAAAAAAGAAAGAAAAAAAAAAAAGCACTCACAAATTTTGTGTATGCTTGATCAACCAAATCCCTAGATTGTCCCTGGATGTACTGCTCCATTCGTGTTGCCAAAGTAGCAAATCTAAGTAAAAGGGAAGACAAGCAAACATAAGTAACTGTAACTGCCTGATCAGAACAGATAAATTTCTATGGGAAATTGCATTCCTCAATTTGAAGACATACAGAATTATTTCCATTTTTGTTTTACATATATGATAAATATGGCAAAAAATGCCAGTTCACCTTGGGATGTATGATAAGACACCCATTTGTCTAACATTGCGCTCGTTTTTTTCAATCTGGTGGCAAGCTTCATCAACAAACTGCAAAGGATCATAAACATTACAGGGGTTCAGAATCTTCAGAACATAACCTCAAAAACATATGATGATGATCACCACTAATCACAGAAACTTACGCGACTGAACTGCATAGAAACCCTCGACTCTAGATCACCAAGCAAGAGACGCACAAATCCTGCTGCATCAGCTTTCTGACCAGAAAGATAGCGCTCTGTAATCCCATGCATTGATATGCAGCGTAAGGGATCAATCTTGTAAGCCCAATCCACAACGGCATAAAAGTCTTCCTGAAAACTATATAAATTGGCCTCTTTTATTTTTTCACAAGGAACTTTAAAATGACTACAAGATAGTGCATGCTGCTATGCACAAGTCATGACCAGGATAGAGAGGCTGAACTGGTGAGGTGTGCAAATGAGGCCCTAACAACAAAAATCAAGAGCAGGTACAAAAAAATAGGCAACAAGTTCTGCACATTACCTGGATTCCATCGAGTAAATCCTGAAGAGATTCATTTAATGCTGCAAGCTCTCCTGAACTTTTACCTACAAAATTAGACAATTGTTTAAAATGCAAGAGAAAGAAGCAGAAACAGCCATTGCAGTCAGTTAAAATATGATCAGAAGCACATAGGTAATTACAACAAAAATATAGCGTAAATTACCAGCCTTGCTGTCCTTGTCATCAATGTCCATGATTCCCAAATCATCGTCATTGGTGTCATCAGACTTATCTCCATTAGCAGTACCCCCAGGAGGATTAAGTGCTGGAACTTCAAAACACATAAAGTGCGCAAAGAAAGAACTCTGCAGTTGCACCATTTTAGAATGGAGATTTAATACGGAGATATGTGCTATGAAGATCAAAGAAACTATAATGTAACTTGACTTTAACCTCATCTACAAGGAGTGGGATAAAAATTGTAAGCATCTTGGAATAAGCTTCAGAAACAGCAGAAGTGTCTGCAGCATTCGCATTTTGACCAGACCCAGTAGAAGTTTCAAGCCAGACGGTTGGATTTCTTGATGCTTTTGTACTAGCACGAAGCTCATTTGCAAATTCACGAGCCTGTAGGTGTCAAATTATCTACTCAATCTTTCAAACTGATCAAACTACTTAACTATCTAATGTCTATAAAAGTTTATTTCGAGAACAAGAATGATTTGATTAGGTTATTGCAATGTTGAATCAAATCACCACCATTTTGGCTTAACTTATTACAAGTTGATTCTACATTGAACGACCAAAGCATCCATGTCACAATCTTATCAGGAAGCCTGGTGATCAGATGGAAAACCCAAAATATGGCCAATCAAGAGAGGTCCATCATATAAGACAAAATTAAATATAACTGATAAAAACAGCAACCAAATAATACTTCTAACACATATATATATATGAGTAACATTCAGGTGATAGAATATAAGGTTGTGATTCTCACCTCACGACGAATAAGCAAGTTGAGGGAGCTACAATATGCTTTCCTCAAAGCGCCCATGCAATTCTTATCAAGACTCTGCAAATGCAAAGAGAAAGAGAGGGGGAGAGTGGGGGGAAGGTAAGCAAAGGAAAAAAAACAGCAGTGCACAAGCGCAAGTAGAAAGAACAAAATTCCTAATGGTTAATGCAATTAACTTAATCGACCTTTAAATGTTGCAGAAGGCGAGCATATGTTCTGCATTTGTACCGTAGATCAGCATGATCAGGCCTTTTCAGTTGGCCCCGCTATTTTAAACAAGCACAATACTGAGCATTAAGATGCATACACAGGAAATGACAATTTTGATCATATTGTAAAAGAAACGTCTCCTAAAGTGTACCTGAGAAAAGTAGCTCTTGTCACTTATCATAAAATCCACCAAACTAGCAAAATAATTTCGCAAGAACTCAGAAGCTTTCCTGACAAATGTAGATTTCAATTTTTCAAGTTCTTCTCGCTTCTCTTTAACCTGTAAGAATTTCAATTACTACTTACAAACACAATGAGGTTTCCAATATCAATAATCAAAACAGCTATTTCTAGTCTAGCACCTCAGTAATGAGAGGGAACTCTAAATTTCAAACATCTGGCCACAAATTTTTGAAAAAAAAAAAAAAAAAAAAAAGAACTGAACAAATGAGATAGGCAGAATGCTTACAGCCCGTATATTTGCATATATAGGGTCCAAGTTTGGCGCTTCAAGACTGCGTAAAGCACCAGCCAACCACTCACATGCTTCTATGTTTTGAAGCATACGTGCTTCATCAAATGAACCTCCCGTCAAACATGCGGCATACTACACAAATGAAACAGCATTAAAGAGACTGTAGGCCTAAACAAGTTGCCAAAGTTAAAACTAACAAGTTATCTCTCAAAGCTAAACATGAAGGACACCATACCTCAGAAGGAACGCGCAAACCTAGAAGAAGCTTATCGAGTTCCTCAATGAGTGCTCTATTATTTACAGATTGCACCTCCAACTTGTTATTGCGGGTTTCTATCTGGACATTGCAACGGAAAAAAGTTACAAGCATTCACGTAAAGGACATTTATACATCCAGCAGTAGTATCTTAAAACTATCTTATGACATGGCATACAGAACCACCACTTCTTTAGTCAGAACCCTGACTAAATTGAAGCCAACACAAGATTAGCATCAATACATTTTTAATCAACAAGAATAAACATAATACCATCAAGTTTCTTGGGAAAATATGAAATGTAAACAACTTTATATTGGACGCCATATGGTAAAAGTTTGAGGGAGGAAAGGAAACAAAAATTCACCACTAAAATTATTGTTAATATTTTCATATACAATGGCATAAACAGGCAAATTGAAGCTTTGACTAGATGTACAGTGCTAAATTCATGACAGATAAAAAATATACACGAAAATAAATAAAGAAAATTTTCCACTGAACTGCATTGGAAATAAATAGTGTAGTCCATAAAGGATCAGCAAAAGTCTAAAAATTATCAAAGGTAGCTAAAGTCCCTACTGATTCGATGTCTTCTCTCATGTGTCTGAGTTTCACATTGAAAATGCCTAACCATTCGTCCATGTCATCGACACAATTTGTTGCTGCCTCAAGGCCTTGCAATACCTACAAGACCCATAAATGAACATATAAATGACAATAACACGTATCTTCATGGAAATAGACAACCACCAGTCAATGTCCTAGAAGCAGGTAAAAGTAGCTTGCATATCAATCTCATTGAGACAATGTTAAAGCAATGTACCCAAGTAACTGGAAGATGAATAAAGTTTCTGAGAATGAGGTAGCAACACCTTTTTATTCAAAAGCAAGTTGAAGAATCTAAACAGCGCAAGGTTAGAAGATGAATGAGAGAACATCCGTGCTAAGCAATTACAGTGGTTGAAAAACCAGATAACTGGCATGCTTAGACCTGCCTGGCGCCATTTATATCATAGTCACATGGGTGACAACAGACATTAACCGTATTGAATTGACAGGTAAAAAAGGAAGATTAAAAACCTTGGCTTTGTTTGGGAAGTGTGAAACCAAGCAACAAACAAAGAACATAAAAAGGACAATAAATAAAAAACCTAACAAAGAAGAAATGCAGCAAACGGCATTGTATTCAACACAACTGATAGTAATAGAGTCACCTCGTCGATCAAGGGTTCACTTTCCAAAATGGCATGCACATTTGCTGCTTCCAAAGCCAGAAGCTCTCTCTTCAACCTTTCAGAAAATGCCTCTGCTTCACCAATACCCATGACATAACTGCATAGCACACAATTCAACTAAGTGACGAAGAGCACCCTATAAAGACATGGCATTTGATGCCTGCCACTTGGAAGTTGTCAAATCCAACCAATTGGACTTTTACATTAAATAACAATAGGCAAGGGCAGGACAATTTAGGATTCCCCAGTTGGTCTTTGAACTCTTGGCAGGCATCAATGCAGAATGTGTCATGAACTAAGCAGGCTCTAAACCAAAGTTTTGTCTATCAGTCTAATTTTTTTTTTTTTTTTTGAAAGTCTCAGTCTAATTTCTAATCAGGAAATGACAGACAACCATTTGTATCTAGAAGACGACCACAAACAAAAGAAAATATAGTATATAGTGATGTTTTTGAAAAAAAAATTACAAAAGACCTTCCTAACAATCAAATAATTCAACCCACCTAGTGCTCATACATTTGTTTTAATTTACAAACAGACATCACTTCAATTAAAATCTTATCATACCAATATTCCCAAAAAGGACAAATGAAACAGAGCACAAACATTTTCTACATCACATCAGAAATAACGATACAGTACATACGTTCCCAAAAGTGCCTCCATGTCCTCTTCCTCAGCTTGGGAGACAAGTTCTTTTTCAACAGTTACTTTCAAGTCACTTTCCGTTACTGTAGATGCAGCAGGTCCCTCTTGCTCCTTTCCTTGGCTAGTGACAGCTGGTGTATTTTCCTGAACCATTTTTTACAAAAAAAAAAAGAAAAGAAAAATTGGAGACAGAAATAACTGCAAATAATAATCTAATAAACTAACAACTAATAAATAAAGTTTCAGCTGCATGAAGCCAAAAACTAGGACAAGTTCCATGTAGTGACATGAAAAACAAAACAACAAAAGAAATTCACATTGACAGAAAATAATCGTCATAAAGTTGTAACCATGATTACTGATTCCAAGGGAAGTGAAACCTTAAAACATAATTATCTTGCAATCTAATCTGTACATAAAAAACAGTACAAGTGTACAAATTCATCATATGCACCTTAGCCCAAAGAGCCATCTCCACGACATCTATACCAACAACTTTAGGAAGCTGACCAAGAGCATCTTTGCATATGTTCAAAATGCAAAGTAAAAGGCGGTTCCTACACAGAACAGAAAAAGAAAAGGAAAAAAGAAAGATAATCAAAATCTTATCAATCTGTTTACTGAAAGATAATATCGAAATAGGTGTATGTCCTCCATGGCTTACCTGTCATCAATATTTCGCATGGTCCATTGAGGAGGAGCAACACTTTGACTCCTAAGATTATCAAAGCCCTACAAGAAACTCCATCAGACCAAAATGGAGAATGGCACTCCAATTTTTCTCAAACAATGGTTCCTTTTTTTTTTTTAATTGAAATAACCCTAATTCTTTGCACAAATTCCCACAATATATACAGCATAGACACATGGAAGATGGAGCACTACCTACCAGGGTAAAAGTACACCCACTAGGGTCGTTCGTTAAAACCTCCACCTTTGAAAGATGCTTTAGTTTGTATAACTTTGCAGGCTGCAGTAAAAGAAAATTTCTGATTAATTGCAAATCGTAATCCAAGTCCTAATCAAGCACAAATTTGCAGTACTAAATAAGACGTTGCTGTTAATGACTTCACCTCAAGGACTCCTCCGGTGGAATATTTTAAGACTCGAAGAAAGGCTTTAGTCCTCTGGCCCTTGGATTTTACTGCACGAAAAAACAAAGGGTGGTCACCAACACAAATTAAGTATGACTAAGCGCATGCGGTGATCTACATCCGCCTGAATATTTATACTAGAGAGGGGAGTTATGCACACATACACAGGCATACATTAGCAGCGAAATTCGAGTTTACATTAGCAGCGAAATTCGAGTTTACATTATCAAATGACCGTCACATTTTAGAACAATCGGAAAGGAAGGTCTCAGTCAGTAGTATCCACTATCACAGTCATACATTAGCAGCGAAATTCGAGTTTACAAGTGTAGCAAGAGAAGGAAAAAAAAATGTAGACCATCCCTTAGAAATCTTGTAATTCAGCTCAAAATTGTTGAATCAACCTCGCTGATAAAAATCATTACTGTGCCATTTAAGATGCTCTCGTGCCTTGTACAGTCCTGTTAACGAAAATATGCACAAAGACAATGCTTTGGAGCCTTCTTACAACAATGCACCAAGACAAGCTAACAACATTATCATCGAAAAAAACTAGTTCTAGTCACACTCCTTAAAGTAGTAGAGATAAATGATACTGCAAGTTCCAAAAATTGATATTATCTATCTTCCCTGTAAGATTGACCAACTTAAGCAATATTAATCGGCATTTACGAAGCTCCCCAATCTTTACTTCAACTCTTGTGAATAATACAGATCAGTCAAAGAGTTATATTTCTTCAAATTATCCAGTCTGAGCACCCAAACACATTACCATCCAACCGCATTGCGATTATCTGTTTCGATTCCGAATATATACTATAATCATTCCAAAATAGTGAAATGAAACAAGCCTAACAATTGGACAAGTTAAAACTTAGTCTGATTCTTCACAAAAGCTCAATTTCTCTTCCATTTTTCCACAGCGCATAGAATTTGTAATCGATTGAAACTACAGGGATGAAATAAAGACGCAAATGCGTACCGGAAAGAGCCAGAACCCTAGCTTTGGCCATGTCGCGGCCGAGCATGTGCGTTATACCCCGGATCGCACGGCTCTTGGCCACGCGGATCGACATGACGACGCTCTGCTTGGTGCCTTCGATGGCGGCCTCGCAGGCCCGCCGAAGCTCCTGGTCGTCTGCGCTGGATTTCGCCATCGCCGGTGGTGGTGGTGGTGCTGCACTCGGTGGATCTCAATCGGACTCTGCTGTAGTTTAATGGTAAAATATACAGAAAAAATGGAGCGAAGACGAAAATGCGAGAGTATACGTTGGCGTTGTGTACATATGCTGGGGAGTTCAAATTGCCCATTTTTTCTCTACCGAGCCTAATTGTTTGACATCTGTCCCTTCCTTTCACTGGCTGTACGGAAGTTTCGGGTTTGGATTAAGGAGGACCCGAAACGTGTCGGGTACGGGTAGAACGTAAAAGGGACCCGGCTTCTCTACCCTCTCACTTTTCAAACACTCTCATTCTCTCTTATTTTGTGCGGTCACAATTAAACTACGTTAACATTTTATATTGATTTTTTTATAGAGATAATAAGACAAAAATAATAGTAATATAAAATATTGACGTGATTTAACTGTGATCATACAAATAGAAAGGGATGCGTATGGAAAATCGGAGGACAAAGAAATCAGGTCCCGTCAAAAGGGAATAAAATGAATTAAACTGCCGTTGGTACTCTTGAACTATCACCTTGTTAAAAATTGACCCTTTTTAGTTATTTTATTGATGCACTAAAGCCCTAACGTTTTAACAACGTCTAAATCGAATATGATTCAATTTTAGACAATTTTAGCTAGTTTGAAAGTTAAGAGCTTTCATTCATACAAAGAAAAATAAGGTTAGGAACTAATTTAGAGTGATACTTATAAAAAATAAACGGGGAAAAAAAAAAAGACATTGAACTTGCCATTTACAATATTAATATTTCTCAATTTGATTTATCCAAATCCTAAAAACTCGCGCTCCTGCCGCTGTCTGGAGAGGGGAAAAAAAACTAGAAATAATTTGGGTCAACTTGTTTGTATGGTATTTTTAGACAATAATGCTCGATTCTACAGAAAGTAAATGTGTACAAGATCTTACAAGCCCAAGCAAAATAGACAGGCCGATTAACATCTCGAAGAATTTTTATCATGTTGGATCCAGTTTAACAGTAAACAGGTCCGAACTAATTGAATATTTACACCAGAAATTTCCCGCGGGCTCAAACGGAAAGAGATCTCAGGGCCCAAAACAGAAACACAACATAACAAATCCCAAAAGATGAATTTGTAAACATATCTTCATTTTTCTAGCACAGCCACCCTCCTTTTCGATAGTGCGTCACCGTGGTGGATGTTCATGTTTTTCTTCGAGTGCTTCGATTTTGTCTTGGATGATGATGGTTTTCTTCCCCCAAACACCCGAAGGCTGCTGAAGCTTTAGCAGCTCACTCCGGTCTGCACGGGATATGCTAAAGCAGGTTTCCAGCGCTGAATTTCAATACATTCAAAAGACCTGATCATCTCAGTAACGAAAACAGCATGCATAGGGTAACCTCCGCCTTGAAAATTAGGCAGTTCCAAACGTCTTCCAGGATTCTAAACACAAAATAGATGCACTAGACACACAATAAGTTAAAATTCATTTCTCAATGCAACAAAGTAGGATGCAGGGATACAAGGATTCGAACCTTGATCTTCTCAGCTACATCTCAAGCTGAGTTGCTCTACCATTTTGAGCTACATCCCTCTAACCTAACCTAACCTAACAACAAATGCACACACAACAGACTATACCAAATGATTGGACACAACTACTAAAGAAACGATCCGGACAATTTCTCATTTTACTCGAAATAGTTTTTTTTTTTTCTTGCATGTTATCCCTAAGAGAGATCTCTAAATGCAGGACCAAAACACCGAAGAGCCGTAACAACTAGAGACATAATTACAAATCATGCTGCTAAACATATTCGAGCACTATCAGTGAACATCTCCTCTCTTGCAAGTTATCCCTAAGAGAGATCTCTAAATGCAGGACCAAAACACCGAAGAGCCGTAACAACTAGAGACATAATTACAAATCATGCTGCTAAACATATTCGAGCACTATCAGTGAACATCTCCTCTATCCAAACACCACCAAAATTTAGCAGCAGCAACAAAAGGACAGATAACTAACAACTAATGCAGACCTCAAGATAAACGTCATATGAATCCACTTGCATAAACTGAAAGGACATATGAATCCCAACAAAAGGACATTTATCTTGACAGACTAACAACAAATGCGTTCTAATCCACTTGCATAATTTGTGGACAGATAACTAACAACTAATGCAGACCTCTCTTGCATGACCTCTCTTATATCAGATGATCTAATGCTGAATAACAGTAAAGAAGGTTATAAACAATCCCAACAAAATCCACTTCAAGATAAATGTCATATGAATCCACTTGCATAAACTGAAACTATTGTGCCGAATATTAGTACGCGTTACAAATATAAGAAGTGTAGTTTTTGACTAAAATATATCATGTAATTGTATATAAAATCATGTGATCCTAGCAACAACAGTTAAAAACAAAATCAGATAGCGGCTTTAACTTACGATTCGATATAAGCATTCCTTCATCCAGTTAACATGCTTTGCCCTTTGTTTTAGCATTATATTCCAATTGCAGATACAGATCACCTCACTATGAATTATTGATGCCCTTCATTTAGCTGCTTTCAAAATTAGCCCACAATTAAGAATATTCATCATTTTCAATTAGTTAAAAATATTAATCAAGCAACACTACCATATTCATCCCTTTCTCCACGATGACATTGCACATATAAAATCACAGACAGTTGCATTAAACATTAAAAAAAATAACTGAATTTAAATTAATAATACAAGATTGCAAAACTTCAATACAAAAGGGAAAAAGGACTTTCATACCACTTTTATTTCCATCATCAAAACTTGAAATCAAGTTAGACCTCACCTAAGTTACAACTGCATAAGTAATACCACCACCACTAATGACAAGGTACACAAAGGGAAACAAAAGACATGATCGATGAGAAACTGGGAGATAATAAAGTCTGAACAGGACATAACCCGACTCCACGGTCAGTTCCATCAACTTCAACATGACACTCATTCAAGAAAAAAAGATATAAGGTCCACGCATATATCCCAAACAATGCTGCCAGATAGTTAGCATGTTAAACACCCCACTCTAAGTTTCTAACGAGGGCCTTGTGCAGGAATGCATCGTTATAGCTGCCAGGATACTATGAACTCTTACAGATGGCAAATTAAACGATAACATGATAGGCCAGAAAGCATGAACCTCTTAATCAAAAGCAACTCCCAGAAGAAATCTCTGGCCAAGGAAAGTGGAAGATATTGAATCAGCCCAACCCGGAGCTAATGAGACTTGACATTATTCTGCACAGGACCACAGCAAGACACAAACATGGTTGTCGAAACAAAACCAGAATTCACAACAGTTGATGAAAGAAAACCAGAATCCATGACTTCGATCCATGTAAAGTGCCATCTTGAAGATAAAAGCCATGAAGTAACAAACTCCATCTTAGAAGCAGTTCATACTCCTCTAAGATCCAATGAAGCAAAGCTCCACCCAAAGACTGCAGACATATAGAACCAGATCTTATGGCGCTCTACAGGAAAGCTAAATAGAAGAAAAGAACCATCATCCAACTTAAAATCAGCCGCAGACTGCTCTCCTCTGTAACTATGTTCAAAGACAACTGCATAATGCATTACTGAAATAAATAATGCCAAATGAAGAATTTTAAGTCACCAAACAAAATCCGGCGTCTGTCAAACAATAGGGAGTACCACCTTCCAAACAAGCTGAAACATTTGAACATAAACCCAGCTGAGATGCGTAAAACCAGTGCCAAAAGACTATGAAGCCAAGAAGTGTAAACCCAATGAAGACAATCTTTTTATGAACATAGTGACGGATGACAGATGAAAAGCAAACCGAATGTGAGGACAATGTCCATAAAGTAGACCCACGAAAGACTCCAAGCTAAAAACGTCTGCAAATGCATTAGTGGAAGACAATGATATCCAAACCAATAAGAAATCAAGTAAAAAGCCCAGAACTCAAACCCCTTCTAAAAGCATTTCGCACCCCTTCTGAGCACAGACAAGCTGGGATGTCTCTGCATACAAAAAGTATGCACAAATAATACAGCAAATATATAAACAAAGAAAGTAAAAATGAAAATCATAGAGGTCTCATAAGAACAAAGAAATTACAAACAAACCAAAAAAGTATCTGACTTCGTCCTAAAAGCAGGCAGGCTGTTTTTCATTCAACTGAGTAAGGCAACGAAAAGTTTGAGACACATCTGCAATAAAACAGTGACTGTATAATGGTTCAGCATCTCAAAACCCACAAAAAACTTAAAACAAATTCATAAGGCAAGCTATGGAAACCCCCCTTTCATAAGCAGCCCATTCTCCCTCACTGAACTTGCACACGACATACAACCTAATGTGTGGACATGTCTGCGTACGAAAAACATTGCTCAAATAACTATAAAATATCTCTATCACACCAACTAAGGAAAAAAAACGGTAAGCCAAAAAGACCCCCTCTCAAAAGTTGGCTGCTCCTATAATGAGTTGCACTCCATCCGACACAAAAAAAGGCATCTGCATAATTAATTGCTCAAACAATATCGCAAAACTCAAGAAATAGGAGATCAAGACACAGGCTAAGAAATATCAAACCCCCTCTTTAAAGCAGGCAGCCCATTGTCATCCAACATTCTGAGACTTCATAAACAGACTATATTGGAATGGGTCCTGCATAAAACAATGTTCCAATAATAGTTCCAGATCTCATCAAACCCAAACGAGTAAGAAATTACATCAAAAACCGAACTCAAACCCCCATTCAGACTGCCCTCCTTCCAATGCTCACCAATATGTCTGCATACAGAAACAATGCTCACTCATGGTGCAAGATTGCATGCAAAGTCTAATAACGGACAATTAAAACAAAAACATAAGGTAACCCCTGTTAAAATCCACCGCTCTCCTTTAACAAAAACAGAGTCCGGACATGTCTGCATACAAAAACCATTGCTCAAAGGATGGTACAAGCTACGTACTAATTAAAAAAAAATTAAAAATAAAAAGTAAAAAATAATTGTAAGCCCAAAAACCCCCTCTTAAAAGCTGCCTGCTCATGCTGCTCTCCGATAATGAAGTTAGACTACACAAACAGACAAAAGACAAAGGCATCTGCATAAATTATTGCTCAAATGATAGTCCAGGACCGCATTTAGTCTAATGAATACAAGAGTATATAAGCTTAGAAGCATCAAACCCCCTTTTCAAAAGCAGTCGGCCAATCCATCCAACAGACTTCTTAAATAGACTATCTGGAATGGAACTGCATGAAACATTGTTGCAATGATTGTTTCAGCTCACGTCAACCCAAAGGAATAAGAAATAAAATAATAACCCAAGAACTACTCAAACCCCCATATTCAAACTGCTCCTTCCAAGGTTGTTGCCATAAATGGACAAGAGAGAGATGGTCTGCATACAGAAATGTTGCTCAAATCATTGGCGTAGAATCGCATACAGAGTTGACAAATAGAAATTTTAAACAGAATCAAAAGAAACCCCCTTCAAAGCACCCCTTTCTCCTTGCACAAAGTTAAACCCCATACGCAAACGAACTCTAAAACGCATCTGCACAGAAAATTGCGCAAATAATGGTCCATGTCTCACAACCTCCAATATATAAGAAAGGCAAGCATAAACCAAGAAACATCAAACCCCCTTTTGAAGCAGGCAGCAAATTGCTCATCGACTGAAGTGAGATTTCACGACCAGAACTTCAGGTAGCATCTGATACGAAACATCAATCACTGATCAAATGATGGTAGTAGGTAACATTAACCCAAAAATAGGAAATTAAATAATCCAATAATCACTCAAACCCCATCTTAGAAACAGCCCGTTCTACAACAGAGCTAACAAGCATGGACCTCGTATACAGACAGGCGTAGGAATATGTCTGCATATAAAAACAGTGCTCAAATAAAGGCACAAAAATTTACGCTCTAAGAAAATAGAATATAATCAGAAGAAAAAGGAACCCCCTAATAGAAGGACACCCGCTCTCCTTTAAACTGTTCGACTCCTAATTAGCTGCACTTCAACACATCTGCATACAAACAAGAATAGGTAGACACAAATCGTTGAACCAGACAAAGCCAAAGAATAGAAAATTCAAGCAAAAACAAGGAAGCACTTAAAACCCCACTAAAAAACCGCACGTTCTGCTTCAACAAGCCAACTCCATACAGTATATCATCTGCAATGAAAATTCCACAAATAATGGTGCTAGATCTCATAAGCCCTAAGAAAACAAATATTGAAACATAAGCCAAGAAACATCAAACCCCCTTTTATATCAGGCAGCCATTTTCCTTCAACCGAGCGAAACTGCATAGCCAGAAAATATTTGAAAAGATCATTGTTCAAACAATGGTTCAAAATCACAAAAAATTAAATCAATCAAGACCACTCAAACCCCCGCTTTGAAGCAGCATTTTCTCCTTCCAACAAGATTAGAATGTGTCTGCATAAGGAAGCATTGCTCAGATTATGGCAAGATCCATACGCTCTAAAATACAAAAACAGAATCTTAAGCCAAGAGGAACCCCCTATTAAAATTCTGCCCGCTCATGTTTTAAAGAAGTGAAACTCCTAAAACCCCGACATTCTTTACTATGGATGGATAAAGTTAGGACGCTGTGATGCATCTGCATAAGACACCAAAGGAAGGACAGCACAGAAATCGAATGTAATGGACATTTAACAGAAACAAGAAGCCAATCAGGGTGAATAAACAAACCAAGCCACACAAAGCTCCCAAACTGTAGAATCCTAACAAGGCGCACTTTGACCCACATCTGCATACAAACAAGAATGGGTAGACACAAACGTAGGACCAAACATATCACAAGAATAAGTATTCAATTAAAAGCAAGAAAGCACTTAGACCCCCTCCAAACCACCATGTTCTGCTCCAACAAGATGAGACTTCATAAACAAACAAGATACATTATCTGCAAAGAACATTCCACAAATAATGATGCTAGATCTCATAAGCCCTAAGAATACAGAGATCAAAACATAAGCCAAGAAACAAACCCCCTTTAAATCAGGCAGCCATTTTCCTCAACCCAGCGAAACTGTAACCAGAAATTTTTTTTAATAAGATCATTGATATAACAATGGCTCAAATTCATAAAAGTTTAATCACACACAGAACCACTCAAACCCCAGCTTTGAAACACCCAGTTCTCCCTCAACAAGATTAAAATGTGGCACAAGACCTATACGCTCTAAAATACAAAAAAAGAATTAAAAGCCAAGAGAAAACCCCTCTTAAAGGTCCCGCTCGTGTTTTAAAGAAGTGAGGCTCCTAAAACCCGGGCACTTGTACCATGCATAGAGTGAAGTTATCTCTGTTGATGAATCTGCACTAAACATCAAAGGAAGGACAACACAGCAATCGAATATAATGGACATTTAACAGAAAAAAGGAAGCCAAGCAGGGTGAATAAACAAACCGAGACACCATCAGCTCCCTGAAACACTTTTCATTAACCGTACCCCAGCTGTGACTGGCCAAGAAGAATTCGAACACATTTGCATAAGACATTGCTAAACAAAAAACGAAAAACCTTCAAAACTCTTAGAACTAGAGAAAACAAAAACTGTGGGAAAGAAGCCTTAAACCCTAGTGTAAATTGATCCCTGAAGAAGAAACCTGAAAATGCATAATAGACAATATTTATTTAGGAATAAAAATTAAAAAGTAGTTGCAGAAGAATGCTTTACAATTAAAAATTAAAAAGTTGTTGCAGAAGAATACTGGAGACAAGGCTAAATGCGACTCCTGGAGACAAGGCTAAATGTGACTCCAAACCTGCTAAACAAAAGAAACCAAACTACAAAAATAAACACGGGCCAAACATTTTCTGAAGGAAAATAAATAATTAAAACGATCTGAAAACGGGAGATTGCAAAAAGACGCAGAATTGAATGGAAAATTTGATTGTGGTCACGACCATACTTCTTTTTCAACTGAAATAATAAATATTGAGGACATAAAACCCGACACAAACTACAAGTTACGTGTAAAATAATACCGTACAAATTCCCAATTTAGTATCTGCCAATAGAAGGTAATAAAATTTAGAACGATTTTTGTATGAGGGAGGAAAATAAACATTAAGAGTGCAAATTCAAGGGAGGCAACAAAAGATTGTTATCGCAAAAACAGGAGTACAAACCCAACCACAGAGCAATCACACAAGAACGCCATCAAAACATTAGCCAAATACAATACCTAACCGCTCGAGTCTTAGACATCTATGCGACTGAAACCCGCAATCCATGCCTGAAAGTTAACAAAGCTCCATTTATTCGACCACATAGGGGATGGGGATCAAAATTTCTAAACTAAATCATCATATCATAAACTTCAATGAGGTAACTAGAGGATCTTCAAATCGAAACCCCAGCAGAACCAGTTATTGAATCCAAAACGCCCTGGAACCACTACCACCACACCAAATCAAAAAAAACCCAAAAGCAGATCAACAGATATAAGATGAGATATCAAAATCCATCAATATCCACAAAATTTGATTGGGAATTCGCAACCTTCAAAAATTATCAGATCCAAACGTTTTTAAACCTGTTAAAAGAAGAGGCGACTGTCACGAATCCAGCCAAACCCTAGAAACACACCGACAGCACTACGAACGCATAATCAATCAATCAATCAGTCCCAAACAGATGAATCAAAACCGGAAACGCAATCCAAAAATTTGAAATATGTAAGGAAATTCAACCTTCAAGCATCGTTAGATCGAAAATTTTAACCTGGCAAGAAAAATCACCATCGCCAAGAATCCAAACCCTAAAATCACACCGATAACAATCGTAATCCATCGAAACATACAATCGATATCGCAGGAATCAACCGAGCCCTAACAGACGAATCGAAATCTAAAAACGACGGAAAACCTGATCGCTAAAGCCATAGCGCTCAACGGCAATAGCCGAACAAGTGAATTGTGAGGACGACTTCGGGGGGTATTTATAGATATAGGCGGTCAAGACGAACGGCTGAGATTAAACAGTAGTGGGATCAATGGAGGGTGGAGATTTAATATAGAAAGGGACATTGGTTAGCTGTCGCCGCGGTTTCCTAAGTCGGTTGGTTACGACTTGAAACCAACGCTACCATTTATTTATTTATTTTTATTTTCCGTTTGTGGTCAGGATGCGCCGTCCTTGTTGGACCGGGATTTCTTTGGCCAGCGGGATTCAAGAAAATCTCATACCACGTGGCAGTGTTATACTGGTGGATAAGGAAGAGGACACTCTAGAAGGCAATGGAGCCTTGGAGAAGAAGGCTAGTCTTTTCATTTTCCTTTTTTTTTTTCAATTTTTTTGTCAGAAAAGGCATCATAAATTTTTAGGGTGGATAGCTGGTCGTGTTCAAATTTATTTACTTATATTCACGCCGTGTAAAAGTGTTGAAACGAGTATAAATTTCATGTTCGTTAAAATTCATTCGTAATTCTGTTTAAACGGAACTGCATTAACTAATCAATCTTCTTACCAAGAGATTTTTTTGTGTTCATAACACGAATCGATGCACCATGATTTTTCTCTCTTAGTATAAACAAAGAGAACATTTGTTTTTTAAGAGTCTATCCACTTGTATTATAACCTTGAACTTTCATCAAGGTTCCATGTTTTCAATCGGTTGTCATCTCAAATCGAACGGAAAAACTTCAGAGATAAAGTCAAGCGTTTTCCAACGGCAATTACTTCATCATTCACAAGAAATTTACTTTCAATTTCTTTTTCATTAGAGCATCTTCAAATAAGATGTTAAAATGTTCACATAAATTATATCAGAAAAAAAAAATCACATTAATGTTCTCCAACCTAAATGTTAATTCCTATGTTGCGATAACATGAATTGACAGCAGCTTCAAAGTTAATTATTATTATTTTTTATTTCTTTAATCATTATTATAATGAATGTTGGTGTTGTCTAGTGCATTCATGCCTTTTTGGTGCATTTGATGAACGGTCCCGATTTAATAAGCAATTAAATGTCTTTAATTAAATTTGTGTTGGTTTAATCATTTATTTTGTAATCTAACAAAATAATAATTTAATTTAACATATTAGATGAAAAATACAACTTTAAAAGATCTTAAAATACCACATAGACCGTCAAATTTAAATTTTGTGTTTAAAGTTTGACACTTCCTTTAGAAATGCTCTTAACATTCATTCGTAATTCTGTTTAAACAAAACTACATTAACTGATCAATCCCCTTGTCGAGAGAAATTTTCATATGCCCAAAACACGAGCTGATGCACCATGATTTTCTCTCTCTTTAATAATACAAGCGAATAGAAGTATAGAACATTTGTTTTTTAAGTGCCTATCTACTTGTATTGCAACATGTAGTTTGCACCAGCCCGTTTTCCAAATACGCTGAAAATTTTCTCCCCTGAACAACTCTCATCAAGGTGATTCGGTGTTTTTAACCAGTTGTCATCTCAATCGAACGGAAAAACGCAAGAACCAGATGAACTTCAGAGCTAAAGTCGGGCATTTTCCGGCTGCAACTAGTTCATCATTCACAAGACAGAGGGAAAAGCAAAAGACGATCTCTCTATTTTTTATGATGTATACCGCCATTGTTTCATTTCCAAAACGTCAAATATAAATCGCAGCATCAGACGTTTGTACCCCTCGAATTTAAAAAAAAAAGTTCATAAATCTGATCAAAAAACTAGGTTTCTAAATAGTAATGTTCTAAACCTAACCTTATGCAGTAAAATGTGATTCTGTCGGGAAAACTCAGTTGGTAACGAGAACAGAGCGCTCTAATGTTAAGATGTATACGACGAGCACCATCGTCAGCGTCGGCTTTCGCCCGAACTCTCAAAGCTAGATGAAGGTTGACACGGTTCTGTTATTTATCGCCGGGTTATCTTCTAGTCAGCTATGACAAGAAAAGAGAAGCAATAAGTAAACATGAAGGGTATATGTTAGGTAAGACTGGAAAACACACGCTGTTACGAATATCCATACCATTGGAGGCGGCCAAATCAATTTCGGAGTTAGAGGTTGTGGTGTCCCTAGAAACCGTAAGTTCTGAAGCTTTCTCCACACCATTTGACTTGTAAGGAGCAATACTGTGCCTTGTCCTCTTGAGGGAACCCAACAAATCATCCTCGATGCAATCGTACCTGCAAATAATCCATACGTGTTGAGTCTAAGCAAATACGTTGAGAGTGGATAAAGGTTTGCAAATGGGAGATTTCAAGTATTAAAAGAAACTTACAATTTTGCGCAGAGGTTATCAGTAAGCGTAGAAAGATCTAAGATCCCCATTTTCAACTCCATAATTTCATCCGGCGAATACTCATCAAAAGGCTCCTCTATAAACAAAGAAAGCCTCTCCATATTTGCCTCAAGCTGCTGCTGCTGGTCCTCAAATAAGTTTTGCTTTATGGTCCTTTCTTCTGCCGTCATTTCATTTTTGCATATGTATTCGCTAAACATGTAATATGCAAACGGGTAGGAATACGAAATAATCTGCCTTGATCTGAAGAGTCTGTAGAGTGCATTGGTCGCCCAGCTCATATCTCTATATGTTGATTCTCTTTCTTCCAAATGCAATATTTTTTCTTGTATGCTTTGTTTCAGCGTTGCTTCAAGCTTAAGAGAATCGATATGAGCTTGATAACGGTTGAAGTAGTGAGTGTACCGAAATAGATCCCTCTTGGCCTGTTCAAGTTTCGTCTCCTCGTCTTCTTTGAATCGCCCACAACTGTGATCCGCGATGGCGTCCCATGTATGATTCAAACCAGTTGGAGCACCGCAGAGCCAACTGTCAAAACACATACAGAAACAAACTTTAAAGCAATATTATCAAATGCACTCTATTCTAAAGAAATTGCAGTAATGTTTCATCAAAAGAAGAGGGACAGAAATAAGGAAGCTCCATTTTGATTCAATGAATATTTTAAGCCACATTCTGTCTTATAATACTGCTTATCGCAACGTCATAGAAGATGACATATACTTCACCGAATGCTTTAGAACCAATAACTTTATGTCCAAAACACTGAAAGAACTTCATGGGTAGAAATTTTGAACCACCATGAATTGTTAGCATGTGAAAGGCAACAGCAAATCCACACAAAAACAGAGAGCTTTTTTGGTTTCGAGACAAGTTACAGTAAAAAACCCATACATTGTGCAGAGCAGGTTTATGCAAAGCGTAATTAACAAAAAAATCTTTAGGAAAAGCTTAGTCTATAAGGAGCCAGTCTACCAAAAGTCACACGTCAACATAAACTTCACAAGGGCAGCATAGCAAATCCTAAGAAAAGGATCCTACCCAGGTAGAGTTTTGAAACACTGCCCGACCATCTAAATGTATGAAATGCTCCCCAAACCAGCCCCACAAATTCACAAATAAAAGGGCAAAAGACTAAAGAAAATGCTAAAATATATAAACACTCACCAAAATGGTTGTCCGCAGAGACACGAAACTAGATTGCATCCTCCATTCTTCTCAACCAGCTTGCCACACTTTGGGCAAGGCTTTGTATTGACTGCAATATAATTAACCGTCTCTGATTCATCTTGGCACTTCTGACACCATAGTTTCCACATTTGGCATGAACATGGGGAGTGTGCTTCAGCTAAGCAGTTAAAACAGAATTGAAGCCCACATGCACATTCAACCTCGCATAGTTCATCTTCCTCAATGCGTATAGCATTTCCGCAGTGGGGAACACTTGGGCACCATTTCACCATTCTATTATCCTCAATATATGATTCCAGAAGAAAACGTTCAAATTTCTCGGCCAGATTAGGATCCCTTGCACTGACTAGATTTCGGATTACTGCTTCATCACAAATGGCATTGCACTTGTATGCCATGCATTTAATGCGCCTACTCTGCCCGTCATTTATTTTCACAATAAAATGCTCCGTCCAACCTAAAGCACAATGGTAGACAAAACTGATTTCAACTACAATCACAACATTCGCACATTGCATGAGAAAGTATAGAAGATGCAGAGGAGAGTACTTACATCCGTTGCAGAAGCAATGACCGCAATCCATGACTGTCGCTCGATCAGCTGGAATTTCATCCATGCAAATACCGCACATTACCTCAGAGGACAACTGTGATGAAACATGATCATCCTGCTCCACCAACGTCACACCTGCTTCGGCATACAATCTATCTTTCCCCTTCTCTACAAGCACCGCAAGCACATTGTCAACATCCCAACGGTAATGGATGAGTAAAGTTCGGGCATGGTATTCTTTCAATGACAGCACATCCATTGCCCTCTGCACGTCGTCCTTCTGCACAATTTAATCCCAACATTCGATATAAATCTAGTCGAGTATAACATTCATACAAAATCACCAAAAAAAAAAACGAAAAATCTGTACCTGCGCAGCCAAGAGAGATTCTTTTGAAATGACCTATAAAACACCAGTGTCATCAATACATAATCGGTAATCCGATGGCATAAGGAATAGAACTCAATTCAAGGCGATAAGTTTCGAAGTATTTGGAAAAAAAAAAAAGATCATGAGGCAGATAAGCTCACTGCGTCAAATTGCGAAACCGAACCCGAAAAAGACAATAATTTTACTAACAAAGATACAAACACAGCTGCAAAAAAGCCACATTCTCAGCAACCAAACAGGAATCATACCCCTTTTGCGGTTCGCGACAGAATTCAAGAAGAAGGAACGAAATTTTCTCCGAAAATCTCAAAAATTCGCAAAAAATATAAAAATCCGAAGACACGATATTTACAAAATCACGATCGCCAATAACGAAACTGAAAAATTGAATCGCTACCTTACTCGTCGGAACCTCAGGGCGGAGAGAGTCGTAATTCTCACCGTATTCCAACAACTCAAAATTCTGGCGATCATCCTCGTCGTCGTAATATTCCTCGTCGTCGCTACTGACGTAATAATCGTCCACCATTTTTGCACCTCTCTCAAACCCAAAAATCAAAATTAAACTGGAAATTGCAGACGAACAACTGGTTTGAGAGGCGCGATCGACCGCCGGAGGAAGAGAAGAATTTTCCGGGAAAATAAAAAGAAAGAAGTCTTCTGGGGGAAGCAAAACCCCTAGAAAGATTTGATCTTTTTCTTCCTTTCCTTTTCTTCTCTTCCTCCTCCGTCAAGGATGATGAGAAAAAAGGAGAGAGAGAGTGAGTGAGAGAGCGAGAAAGAGAGGGGCAAATTTAAACGATTCTGAATGGGGAATAATAAGAACTGAAAATTGTTCCTTGTTTCAGATAATCTCTCCCGCGGTGGAGATAACTCTATGCTTTAAGGATAAACTCGCGGAGTAATGGCGATGATTAATTTTTTAAATTATTCCCCTTTTCCACTATTTTATTGTTTTCAATCGCGATTTCAAGCTAAATTACACCAATCCGTTTTTTATTTATGAAAATTGAATTTAAGACCTCTCTAACGTATGACTGAACTAGACATGTCCAATTTTACTAAATTGCGGTCACTATTTGTTATGGCTCATCTTATCTCACTACTTGTAAAGGGAAAGAATGATGGGTTAAGGAATCGACTGATTTCAATTCTTATTCTTTATAAGTAAATATGTCCGTATGGTACCGTTTGGTACATGAGATGGGACGGAACGAAATGAGACGAGACGTTTCGTTTCATGTTTGGTGTGCCTAAAACGAGGAGAATGCGTTATTCCACTAGATGAGTTTTCAGTGAATTTTCGAAGAATAATGGGAAGAGAGGTTTCACAGCAACAACAGTAGGAGGTGGTGCTCGCAGTGGAGCAACTGCTCGCTGTGAATCCGTACAACCCCAACATCCTTCCCGATTTCAAAAACTACGTCAACGAGCAGGTATGTATCTCTGTCTCTGTCTCTTCATTGACGGGAACCGATGGTTCGGTTTGATTAATTTTGATTGAACGACTGGGCTTATTTGGTTGTTTTTTAGGTTTCTTCGCAAACCTACAGTCTCGATGCCAATCTCTGCCTTCTTCGCCTCTATCAGGTAATTTGAGAATTGGGTTTTTAAATTTCATTGATTTTTGTTTTAGAATTACTCCAAAAGTGAATTCCTTTTAATTGGTTTATGTTTTGCAATCCTAATTTCCTGCAAAGGTGAATTCTTTTTAATTGGTTTTGTTTTAGGATTCATAATTTACTGAAAAACGGAATTTTTAGTTGGTTTTTGCTTTAGATTATATAATTTACTGCAAATTCTTTAGTTGGTTTTTGTTTTAGATTGTATGATTTATTGCAAAGCCGAATTATTTGTAATTGGTTTTCGATTTTCGATTTTATAATTTGCATGCGCCAAAGAGTTTGTTGAGAGTGATGAATACTTACAATGCCGGTGGAAACCGCGCAGTCTTTGCACCTCCAGTTGTGGCTTCGCAGTCATTCAATCTTTTGGTTACATTTCGTCCAACACATACCAAACGCAGAATGGAACAACCATCATGTTCCGTTCCGTCCCGTCTGCGTACCAAATGATACCTATTAAATTAAGAAAGTCATGAATTAGGAAAAGAAAAGAAGGAAGAGGTAAGGAATCGACTAGCATGCCTAGTTCTTATGAATCTTGACTTTTGAGGGTGTTGTACATGGACGGAGCCACCTTAGGCCTAGACATGGAGGATGCCCCCACTTTTTTTTGTCTTTTGGGTGGAAAAAATGCACATAAAGCATATAGCAATCCCCCATGATTGACCAGTTTCGGTTGTGAGATCAATTGAGGAATAATAATATGGTTATTTTTATAGAGAGAAAAATTTGATGATATTGGTAATTAAGAAAATGCGTCGAGTGATATTGTAGTATATCGTAAAAAAACCTTTATCGGTTAGTATTTAAGTGTTTTGTTTAGTAAATTCTTGAGCTTTTCAATTCATGACTTTGTTGTTTGAGGATGCCTGCATCCATAATGCCCCCAGCCAAGTAATTCATTGTTGAGTTGGACACTGCAGTTATATGTGCATACTACAATTATATACATACGTTTGTTATATTTGAAGAAAATATATTATCTAATATCAAACATACCCCAATATCAAATATTATATGAGCAAAAGTGTTTTGTACCATCATTCAGACAGCCCCTCTCCCGCATCTCATGTATTGATATTATTCTCTTCATCTTGCCACTTTCCATTACTACACTGATATTTTTGTAACATTAAAATCGTGATATATCGTCATTTGAAATCATCTTTATTATTAAATTAGGTATAAGTCATACCATAATAATGTTTTGTTAGTTGTTTTTCAGATTGCTTTTATTACAAAAAATTTCTAGCTCCTTCTCCAATAGCACACTCCTTTATTATTGTTCTTTTCATACTTATTTTCTCCAAATACTTCAAACAAAATCTATGCCTCACTAGTTTCCTCTGCTTCTGAGTTTTGGCAATACCAACTACCCATTACTTCTGAGGTTTAGCAGCGCAATGAATCAATGCATAATTGCATTGCCGATGGTTACCGCAAAAGCTCCGCGTGACCAGTCATGCACTCTTTAACTTCGATGGTTTCGTCTTCGATTTACATATCTGCATCTCTTCCTCCTCCTCCCCACTTCCTTACACGGTCCTCCGCTTCATCAGCCTGCGCATTTCATGACATAATTAACATCGGCTTAAGCAAATTAACCCGATTTAGGGTTACAATCAAGAGTAAGAACTCAGTACTTACTTCTTTCTTCCAATTAGTTATGGAAGTGATTATTATCAAGATTATGGTTTGCAAGACAATGCCACCAATCATTCCTGACCAGATACCCTACAAAACAGCACGAGTTTGACAAACGGAATTAGGGGAGAGATTAGAGTTATGAAATTGTTACTGGTACTCCCAAATAGTCAAGTCGTCTAATTGTATCACCTCGACTCCAAATTTAAATGTGAATCCGAGAAGTATTCCGGCCGGCAATCCGACAACGTAGTAACACCCAATGTTGATGTATGCAACAAGAGATTGCCATCCAGCTCCAACAGCAACACCTTCAAAAACAAATTAAACACAACAAATTGTCAAGAAAAAGAACACTTAACCGATCGATAGATATATGTATACGCGAAAGTCTTGGTTAATTATGTGGTTAATTGTATTTAATTACCAGATAAGACTGGTTGAAGGCTGTTGAGAAGGACTGTGAATCCAAGCAAGATTGCAAGTTGAGTAGTTTCCTCCGCAACGGCTTCACTGTTGGTGAAAAGGTAGGGGAAATAATCTCTCGTCGTGAAAACTACGATCATGCAGACGAGCCCTATAGCGATGGAAGTCGTCGAAACCACTATCACTGCGAATTTGGCCATCCGGAAATTACCAGCTCCAAGTTCATTTGATACTCTAACACTGTTTGTTTTGCAACATCACGTAGTCAGAAAATTTGGGACATCATGATTCAGAGAAAACCGAATTCATGACCTGTTGATCATTAGTTGTACTACAAAGTCAACAAGTTACAAAAAGACTGGCGAGACGATGAGAACGTAAGTAAATACGTTTACCTGATTGCAGCATTAAACCCGATTGCAATCATTGCATCCCATCCATTTATGTTCATGCTGCATAAAACGAGAAGAAATGTGAGGTCCAAATTTGAATTCATAGGTCTGTATAATTTAAGTACCTTACCAAATAGAGATGGCATCGACTGGGATCAAAGGGTTCGTCAAACGGCCGGTTATAACCACTAGCACCATCAAGTACCAGAATTCCAAGCTGCAGTCATACAAAAAACTTAGTACGATAAAATTTTCTGTTCGTCGGACATGCATAAAGAACATGTATTCACATAATATCGACTCGTTATCAATGACATATTAACAGTCTGTTACTCATTAACGAACGTAAGCTCGCTCCATAGCCGGACTACTTACCACAACATGACAGCAGAAGCTAAAGAGAGCTTAACGAATCCCCACAGGTCTGAAAATGCAAGCCAAGAGAATCCGCTCCAAGCACCATCTGACTTGGTGATGAAGATGTAGAGCAACTGGGCAATAATGATGAGCCACCACGAAGCGTTGAGTGTGATCGCTGCGCCAGTCAGACCCCAGCCGAGCTTAATCATCAACAACCAACTGAAAACTGCATGTTCTACAAGTACTGCAGCTGAGATCCAGGCTATCACGCTAACTTTCCTCTGTGCTTGTAAGAATTTTTGAATTGGAAAGTTGAGGGCATAGGCGAACAACTGTGGAAGCATCCACACTGCAAACTTTCCTATACCACCAAAAAAAAAAAACACACACACACACATATATGATTAGTGGGAAGTCAATTTTCAAACTAGAGAATAGAGAGATGTGATTTCAACGAGACGAGATATGTACTAAATTAGAGTAACTTACGGAAAAGGAGCCCACATTTGAACATATAAAGAGAAACTGGATCCTTTCTTGAGCTCAGGATAGGGGTTTTTATGAGCAACCCATCCGGACCGTTCAAATTTGATCTAATAGCTGTAATTATTATAACTTTTAAAGGAATCCTTATTTGGAACTATTGAATCAAAATTCAATGATCCGGATAGGTTACTCAGAAAGATCCTCATCTTGAGCTTAGAAGAGGATCTGGTTCCATAAAAAGATGGACACATTGTTCTAATGAACTAGTCTAATCAAACTTTGCTAAACATGTGCCTTCTTTTGATGTGATCCATGACAATTTTTAATTAAGTAGTGTTAGATAGATCAAAAATTTAAATCAAATTTGTAAATTAAATAATATATTATTAATAAGAAATAAGTGCGTTAATTAATACTTAAATAATAATCGAATCATCAATAATCAAATTATTTAATTTAAAATTTCAATCATGCTATCATTATCTTTTTTAATTAAGAAGTGTTATTAATACTCTAAAAATCTCATTCTACACATAAAATTTTTGAAATACTAATAACAATTTTCTTTTAATTTCTCGATATTTAAATTTCAGTTCGAAAGAAGCACTAATACGTAACCAAAAAAGCAAAAATCACCAACCGGCGGCCTCAGAAATCTCGGTGGTCTCTCCAACTAGCTCGAGAATGGGTGGGGACCACACATAGACGGGGACCAAAACGCAAGCTGTCACCAGCAGAATGATCCACGATCTCTGCATGTACACCCCTAACATCCGGATCTGACCCGCACCGTACGCTTGCCCACACAGCGTTTCCAATGCACTTCCCATACCCAACTGCAACGCCCATAACACAAATCAGATTCATGACTTTTCAATAGTCACGCACTTTTTTTCTGAACGACTAGTCAAACACTATGGAAATGAATATTTTCCGGATCATTTTCTTCTAATTTATCAAGTTCGAGAATTCAGACTATTAAAATTTAATTCAATAACTACAAACAAAAGTTCATTTTAAAATTATAATAATTTAAGTCATTCGATTAAATTTCAATTACATTGATCCCCAAATTTGATGATCCGGAGAGGATCCCTTTCCAAACACTTTAACTAAGCTAGATTACAAATACTAAAGTCATAAATCACTCTAAGTATATAAGACAAAAAAGTTATTATTTGTATTATTTTTAATTAACAAATTTAATGCTAAAAATAACCATGAGTATAATAAAGAGAAAATAAACATGCATGATAAGGGGAATCACATTCTAATGCTCCCCGGCGCTCGGCTTTGGAAGATCAGGAGGAGAGGAACATCTATTGTACCCAGATTTATCTTTGTTTTGCAAAAAGACTATTTTTTTTTTACTCGAAATAACATTTTTGTTACGTCATGGCTCAAAAATGCCAGCATTAATCTCATTGCGTACAAATATAAATGAGTGATTGGTCGAATAAATTATTTGTCTCATCTCGACAGATCATGTAGCACGCGTAACCTGTTTTTGATGACTAAGATCGAGTGGATTATATTGGATTGGATCGGATCGGTTGAGTGATCATAAAAGAAAGAGAATGACTTGATAGATATTTGGACCATTACCATGACACCGAAAGCGAGTCCCGCGATGACAGAATTCTCGATGGAGACGGCGGCTAGCTCGAGGTCACCAACAAACCCGGCAAAGGTCTGAGTGAGGGCACCCAAGGAGTACTGACAGAGGGCGGTGAAGATTGCAGGGCCGGCAATTTTCCACAGCCTCTTGGACTCGATGCCGAACTGCTTAACAAATTCGATCTTCTCCTCTCCGCCGTCCTCATGGCCGCTGTGGTTGGAAACCAGGAGAGGCGTATTGTGGTTGTCATTGCCAGCCTCCATGTGTCTCAGCTCAAAAGCAGCTGTTTGAAAAGTTATAATTAGGAATAGAGAGAGAGAGAGAGAGAGAGAGAGAGAGAGAGAGAGAGTTACAGAGTGAGAGAGAGAATGTTGTATCTTGCGTGTTTATAGTTGGGAAAATGGGGAGAGTTAGGGGGCTTTGGGTGGTTGAAATACCCGGTGCCTGCTGTGTTGTGTGTTTTTGCGTCACCAGTCCATCGTTTGAATGGTGGTTGCATATTTTGCAGTAAACGAGTGGACGTCGAGACGAGCAGGTCCACTCCCCGCAGCCGCACTGATCGAGAGAGAGAGATGAGTGATTCAGTTGTTCACGTCATTTAATGTAGAGAGAGAGAGAGATGACTCAGCTGTTCCAATTCATCCAAAGTTACGGAGATAAACTCGGAGAAGGATTCTCCCTTTCCTAATTTCTCTTATTTTTATTTTATTTTTTTATTTAAACGCTTACAATTTAATCATGTTAATAATACATAAGAGGAAGGGAGAAAAATAAATGAGAATAAAAGAGAAAATAATCATACTCCGATAAAATAAAGTTAGTTGAAAATGTGGATTTGACCAATGTGGATCATAAAAGAACAATAAAAAAAAACAAAAATGGGAAGAATAATTAGACGGTTCAGATTTTTTTTTTTCTTGATGCGGTGATATTCTTGCCTTATTTTCATAGGATTTCCAAGTATGGTATTTTTAGCAGAGCCCAATTTGTAATAAAATAATTAGCAAATACAAAGGATAAGAAGTAAGGAGAGGGCTAAAAAAAATTTAAAAGTAGCCGTAATTTCATTGGTTAGAATAAAGGTAATTCTTTTTATGTACTTTATTAGATTGTAGGAGAGCAATCATGAGCCCTCGTCCTAACAACTATTAATTTAACCGACACTATCTCTACTACTAAAAACACAAATGAATAGCTTTATATTCAGACTTTCAAATTTTTTTTTTAAGAAAATGCCAAAACTCAAATTTCAACGATTTAAACTGATTATTTTTTATATTGCATTTTAAAAATTATCCTTACAAAATATTAGCAAAATTAAAAAATATTTACGACATCTAATTGAGTTCTAAGAATTTGATGAACATTATGTTCATCATATCAATTAAATAAGTAAATGATTTCTGATTAAAGTGATTTTTTGTAAATGTAATCTATGAATTGAGACTTACAAAATAAACGGTTCAGATGTTGAAGTTCAATGCGGCATGGGTCCACAACTAACCCCAATTTTTTGAAAACAAAATAAAGATCCCTTTCTTTAAAGGGTACATTAAAACAAGAATAACCAAACTGATGAGTTACCAAAACATAAAGGACGATTTATAATAAAAACCTTAAGATAAGTTCCTCGAATCAAACGAACGGTAACCAAGTACGTTTTTAGCACGAAGTTGACCAAAATTCCGGATAGGTAGGTTGATTTTCACCAAACACAACAAACAACTATGGCAGCCACATAAAATACGACTTGACTTGATTTATTTTTTATGATAAATAAACCCGGTTTTTAATTTTATATAATTATTGTACTTTATGAAGCATATGATTGACGACGTGTTATACAATTTCTTCAACGATTCACCATATCGCCTTTGATTTGAAAGCACATGTGGAAAAAGTCGATTAAGATCGTTTTGTATTAGAAAATTAATACCGTTTTATATATAGTAGTAACAAAGGTTGATAAGTTTTTCCGCACTTGTCACACTCCAGAGAAATCCGGACCGTTGGAGAGAGATATTTGGACGTTGAGAGAGAGACTGTGTTTAAGGTGGGCTAGTGAGATGGGTTACTAAGGTGGGCTAGTGAGATGGGTTACTGAGGACCGCAAACACATTTTGCTCAGACAAACAAACATACATCATAAACTTCTCCACCAAACCTACATTCATTCCTGCTTACCTGTCGAAACTGATTGATGAATCATGGGTCGACGTAGAGAATCTCTGCCTGCACCGAGGCACGCCTAAACAGAAGCAAAGTTTTAACTATCTCCCAAGCACAGTCGACTGATGCAGGCTTCATAGTCATCCTCTCGAGCGCAGGTGAACTCAAAAGTAGAAATCTGATGAATTCTAGTTCCCGTTTGGTACCTGAGATGCCGTTTAGTTTCACGAGTCGCAGTTGAGTGATAGGGCAGTTCCAGTTTTCACCTAACTGAAGGTCAACTGTTCCACTAACAGTCAAGTCTTCTGGGCGGACCTGCATAAAGGACAAGGTCTATGGTATCACATTCCTCAACTTAGGACGAATCCTACATTTCATTCCTGCATGCATGAATGGAATAAACCTCACCAGAATTTCTAGTTCTTGTAGAGCAGGAGAGCTTTTCAAAATGCATACAGCAGTCAAGACCTCGTCCAAATCGTTGAGGCTTATCCGTAGAGAAAGATAGTTCAGAACTAGACATGGTTTAGGCAGCCTTCCTGGCACAGGACCAATAGCCAAATACTGGAAGGGAAAAGATGGATAAAATAAAACTCAACGAATATGCTCAAATTCCTTAGGTAATGATCACTAAAAGAAAAGTAAGACTAACTAGGCAACCCATTAGTTACCTTTAAAAAGTAACTCTGAATTTCAAGTCTTTGGATGCCAGGAAGGTGAGCAAAAAACTTGAGCAGATTGCTAGAACTGCTAGGAACCCGTCTATAGGAGTTGCCAACATGCTCATACAGGCCAATGGAAACTACAGCCAGATTTGAGGTACTCTTGAAATTAACATCCTCAAATTTACCTCCCATGTCAAAGAATTGGAGATTTGGCGCATCAATGTTGAGATGGGAGAAACCGTCAAAGTTCATCACAGTCAACTTCTCAAGCAGAGGACATTGAAGAACCATATTTTCAAAGACATCTTGGGCCAGGGTAACATGCTGAAGGTCAAGGCTCTTCAAACTCTTGAAGCCTTTGAAAGTCGATGGAGGTTTAAGCAAACAATTAAACAACTCTAAATGAGTCATATCCTGGCAAGAAAATAAGCATGATGGCATTTTGTAGCGCTGCCCCTTCCAAATTTCAAGTATGAACTCTTTGATAGAGCTTCTTGACAGATGAAGAATCCACCGATCGATATCAGTAGTGGCCACAAAGTCCCTGTTTGACAGCTTGAACTTGTGTACGGGACCAATGTGAAGTAAAAGCACATGATCAACAATGTTGACGAAGGTTGATTGGTTTTGAGGCGAGACACAGTGGTTATCAAACACAAGCTGTGGAAGCATAGCAGATCTGTACCTCCATTTGGTCGACAAAACACTTGTTCGCACTGCCTCCCTAATTGGCAAACATGACAAAATTTGATCTATAACATGACACGGTAGGTTGCTAATTCTATCCAAATCCATCTCCATCATTTTGGAAAGGGACTTGGGTGTTTGTCTTTGCTTCTGCAAAATTCAAGTAATTAAAAACAATCAGATTCATAGAATGACCAGTAGTTTCTAGATCATTGCAAGTTTGCAACTTTGTGTGTTTGAGTTTGTTAGAGAGATAACCGGTTGTCAGATTTCAGTTGGTGACAATAAAACCGAAGAAGCAATGCTTCGTTCTGTTTTCAGCACTAGATTTAGGTTAGGGGCAAAACTTCTACTTTCCATAACAAACCCAACAAAAAATAGAGCTACTAGATTTAGGTTAGGGGCAAGCGGCAGATTAAAAGAAAAGAAAAACAAAACAATTCAGCTTCTTTCCCACAACTTCATAAAAATGCAGCACTGTACGGGTTAGGCCAGTCGGCTAGAGCAGTGTGCCTAATCACCCTCCCCGTAAATTAGAGTAATTTAGAATATCGTATGTCAATAAAACTTCCATAGAAATGCAACTAAATCTCCAAAAAAGTGAACTAAAAAAAAAATCCCTAATTACCTTCAGGCTACCATAAGAACAATCCAGAGTCACAGGAAAAGCATAATTAACACACAAAATTAATAAAATTGAATGGAATTATTAAAATTACACAGAATTAAATCAAAAGGCTCACCATTTCACTTCAAATTTGGTCCTGAAATATGGAGAAATTGAGCGGGGTCAGCTTCCTTTTCCGAGATAACTGCGAGGAAAGCACATCAACCAAACAAAGATTAAGAATTTCAGAAATTATAATCATGTAAGGAATAGCAAGCATTTCATGGAGAAGAATAATTAATCAAATCCGAATAATTAATCAAATAAGCGAGATGCTGATAAAAAGAGAAGAAATGATCACATACAAATTCGAAGAAAAAAGTAGCACGGAATTACTGATTAAACGGAGGATCTTCGTCGCAACAGAGACGCAGTGGGAGTGAATGAAATGGGGATGAAGTGAAGTAATTTGCTGTAAGAATGTACAGGGGATAACCGAGGCCATCTGCAACCGACCTGAACAAAGTTGATGGATGAGAGAGACTTGTGCTAAGAGGCTATTAGACGTCTTTAGCCCGATTTGTTAAAAAAATCAACTCTAATGAAAGACTGGACCACAAACAAGTGGAACCCACTAGGCTAAACGACAGCCTTTTAGCTATCGGGTTGGTTATTTCCAGTCCCCCATCAGCCTGTTTGTTGGGCCCAACCTGCCACCTCCAGCTTGTGTATCAACCGCTGTCACATCCTGACTCGGGCCTTCATCATATTTCGAACTCGATTGTATTTAAGGAACGTGTTCAGAGCATACAACTAATTAGAACACTAAAATAAATAATATAAAATTAAATGAAACAAAAGATGGATCCTACACCATGAGGACTCGAAGATGCCAATGCGGAAGTGCCTTGACGCTGGGATTGTATGCTTCGATTCTAAGTCCTGAAGGGGGCGCAAAACAAACATGAGTAGATCAAGTTGATATATATATAATAAAACAATTATCAACGTACTAACCCCCAAGTTTTATGAAAACACATATATATTATGATAAACATAGGTTTTCCGAAACCTAGCATGTTGTGCAATATCTCAAATCATAACTTGTATATATAATAATCACTAGTGAATGTCCGATAACCCTCAGGCCCCATGCCGGCTCACCAATTAAGACCCAAAAAACCTTCTTTTTTTTTAAATAAAACTGGGGTGGGGTGTATCAACAGAAACAGCTTGCTGACGTCAGTTAGCGGTTGGTTTTTTTTTTTTTGCATACAAAATTAAAAAAAGAAATAATTAATTTTTTTTTTCCTATAAATACCTATGACATTTCTACACCATTTCCCACATTTTTTTCATCATTACATACTATCTTACCTCATTTTATTCTATTTTTCACATTCTATTCATCTCAAACACTCTTTTCATACACACCCCTCTCTTAATGTCTAAATTGTTAGCATGCAAGTAATATTAAAATATTTAATAAAATATGTAACAATACTAACGTGAACCTTAAACAATATGTAACAATACCAACATGTGACAATACCAATAAGTTAAAGAATAAACTTAACAATTATGAATTATTGAGGGGCTATGTTTAGTCAATTTATGTTGGAGATGATATATAAATATAGCTTGGCATGCTCATTTAAAAATATTTTTTTGTAAGGCTATAATTCTGGACGGGGCTATACTTAGCCATTTCGGTTGGAGATGGCCTAAAACGGTACTGGAGAAGATAGCGGACCTTCACTCAATAGGGCGCCACATGGTTAGGGTTTGTCTAATAAGAAATTGCTACGTTGCCATAATGGTATTTTGGATTAGCATGATTCATCATTAACATCATGGATATTTCTTAACTTAACCTTCTTATATATAAAAGCTGGGTAATGCTAAAGAGACCAAAATTTTAAATCAAATTTTGTCAACCAAATGATGTGGATGTTGATAATTGAATTATCACTTAAATATTGATTAATGTGCTTATTTTCTATTGGTGACACATTATTTAATTTACAAATTTGTTTCAAAAATTAAATCTTTCTAACATTATCCATAAAAGCTACATAATACAATAGTGTTCGTAGGGAAAGTTTTGGAGAACTAATAAAAAGCCCCTCATAAAAAAAAAATTATCAAAGAACACGGACAAATTCTCTTATAAGGACAAAAACAAAAAGAATGTCACACTTTACAAGAGTTTTGAATTAAATAAAATACTAATTAAGTTGTTTAAGAGTTTTTGAATATCAAAAGTTTACGACAGGCTTTTTATTAATTTTCTAAAAATGGTGAGGTTTGGGCTTCATGACCAAATACTATTTCACCGGCCTCAATGGCCCACGATAGCCACTCCACTCCCATGCCCCCTCCCCCATCGTTCTGCAAGATCTTTAATAGCTTGTAGAAACTGTATTTTCAAATGCTGGAATCAAGAATACCTATTTGATGGCTATGACAAAGAAAGCATATGGAAAAGTGCTTTTGTATAGAAGCATTCTTTAATTGTAATATAGGGTCGGCATATGTTTGGGTACATAAAATTATCAAGACTATCTTCTATGAATTATTGAGATTAATGGAATTTCTTTAATGGTGGTGTATGTTGTTTGGATGTCGACAAGGGAATAGGGTGTTGCATTGGTGAGTGCTGGTTTGTTTTTTTTTTTTTTTTTTTTTTTCAACTTTAAATAAGGATTAAGAAAAAAAAGTTCAGCGAAATTCAAAAAAATTAGGTATATTCATAAGATTGTAGGGTATTAATAAAACAATATTTAAAAAAAAAAAAAATTTTGTTCAAACAATGATCCAAAATTTGATAACAATAGGATCTTAACTTTTCTAATTAGACAAGACTCGCAAGTCGCATGTGAATGTGCATGTTTGCTCTCAACATAATATTTTTTGAAATTAATTTGTTCGATTGTACAATTCATTTGGAATTTGTGTTCAAATTTGACAAGAAAATTATAAGGTCGCAACTCTACCTAGCTTCTACATTAATCTAGCATGCATGCAGAATGCAGCATTTGTACACGAAGATGAATATCATCATTTCCGTGCATCACATGTACTTTTCGTTTACCGGCCCTTCTTCACTTCCAAGCCAGCAAGCAACTTCTGAAATGTGAAATCGAGAAATTCGAATAAGTTGAAAACGAGTGCACGTAAACGGCCACGCATGCACAGCACAGGGTGCAGAACGCCTTAACATACGGCCAATAAATTAACAGACGGTATGCAGGCACCGCCGATCATGCCCGGCAGGCTGGCACTGTTTCTCGAGTTTGTAAACCCTACTGTGTAAGTTTCGGCGGTGCCGTACTCGACCAAAATTCTGACGTACGTTTTGTTATATCATCAAAATTCATATGGTTTATATAAGAGCTTACGAAGGAATCGATAGTCCTTTTCAAGTTTGGTTTAACTTGTCTATGGTATTTTTTCAACGTTGTCTAACCTAACTCGTGGACAAATGAAGTCATGTCTTACAAGACAATATACGTCTATTTTACAACTTCGACTTTCCCTTTTTTCTCATATCCCAAAAAATATCCCACCGCCAATAGGAAAATAATTGTGGCTAATAATTAAGTTTCCTTTTTTTTCTTCTGGTGCATGCATTAGTATATAAGTCAATGTCAATGTGGCTAAATGCAAAGTCTATCCTCCCCTCTTTCCCTTCAAATCTAGCATTTTCCCGTTTTCTCGGTTTTGAATTTGGAGATTAGTGTTTGCAGAAGAAAAGGAGATAAAGCTCTTCAAACTCTCTCTCTCTCTCTCTCTCTCTCTCTCTCTATATATATATATATATATATATATATTATAGGGTTGTTCCTGTGGATTTTATTTGTTCTTGGAAAGATCAGTAGTGGAAACAATTGATGGGTTTGTTAAGGCGGAAAACAATGGACAGCCAGGGTGCAACGACGTCGCATGAAGGAATCAAGACTGTGAGAGCAGATAATCGTTGTGATTTCTCGAGCTACTCAGATCTTTGTGTTTCCGTTGTCACCTGGAACATGAATGGTCAGGTACGTAGCTACTTCAATTTTGTTTCCGTTGTGATTTCTCGAGGTACTCAGATCTCGAGCTACTTCAATTTTGCTGCATGTTTAATGAATGATAACAAACAAATTTCAGCTTAATTACTGATCATTAATTAGTAATTGTTTAACCAGTAGTTACGTACATATTAATTCTAGCTAGGTATGTATTTTTCATGATTAATTTTTTTCTTCTTATTCTTGATCGGTCTGCAATATGCAGGTCTGTTACGAAGATTTGGCGGAGCTGGTTGGAAACAGCCGGAAGTCTGATCTTCTGGTGGTAGGTCTTCAGGAGGTGCCCCGTAAAAATATTTCACGACTTTTAAAGGCAGCGCTGCTTGACTCCCACATGTACGTAAGATATATTTAATTATTTGCAGTTCGTAATTAGGGTTTTTATGTTAGTGAGGAATTGAAAGTTTGTAATTAAATGATCATTATAATTAATAATCTCGACCTTAATTAATTACGTTTCTCCTTGTTCTGTGTGGAATAATTAATGAAGCTTGTTAGGAAAAGCCATCATGCAATCTATACACCTCTACGTGTTTGGGCCAAAGGACTCTGATTTGTTCATCAGAGGTAAGACATGAAACGATCATGAACTCTAGACTCGCGTTCGAGTTCATTAATTTTCTCCTACAAAGCCAAGACCGCATTTGCTTCAGTTTTATCTAATACTTCTCTCCCAAATATGTTTGACGCAGAATTGAAGATGGATAAGCGATCGGTAGGATGTTTTGGAGGATTACTTAGGAGAAAGAAAGGCGCTGTGGCAATCCACCTTTACTACAAAGGCATTCCTATGGTGTTCATCTCTTGCCATCTCTCTGGTAATTATCCCAGCTAGCATACACACACATAGAAATATTTCTATGTATATATATGTATGTATACAGATTTGCCATAGATTTGAGACTTTGTGTTTTAATTCATTTTTGTGGTCTTTTTGGTAGCTCATGCTCACAACGTGGAGAAAAGGAACTCGGAATTTAGAGACGTATCAGAATCTCTTTTCTCTGGGAAGCTGAACCCTTATGCTAAACCTCCCCAAATCACTGTTTGGTTGGGAGATCTCAACTACAGATTACAAGGAATTGACACCTACCCAGCAAGAAACCTAATCAACAATGATCTCCAGAGAGTAAGTTTTCTTCATCACTTCATTTTTTTTATTTGGCTCGTTTGATGCAATTTTTCTAGGGCACCAATTGAACAACATGTTGTAGCCAATCAGACAGTGTCATGGTTGACTAACTAACCAAATAGTGTAGTAGATCTTTAAAACGGTGACACACTACTCAATAGGCCAAATGCACCACTTATAATAGTATTATCAAAGTGTTCACATTGAGAACAAGTCTGATAACATGGCTTTGAAACTTCAAGGATAAAAGAAACTTCAACTGAAACTAATTGATTTCAGAGTTAATTAGCTAGCTCATCAAGATATCTGTTTGATCTTTTTTGTGTGTTTACATGCAATGCAGCTACTCACTTGCAACGACCAACTGTTACAAGAGGCTGGGAGAGGACAGATCTTCGAAGGTTATAGCGAGGGCACGTTAACGTTCAAGCCCACATATAAATATGACATTGGAAGTAGCAACTATGATACAAGTTACAAGGTATGTATAGTCAATATTTCATCTCTAATCACATGCACATTTTACCATTCGTAATTGCAAGTATAATTACATTTGGTTCTTCAATCCTCACCAACGGACGTTTTCAGGTGAGAGTGCCATCGTGGACCGACCGGATTTTGTTCAAGACGAAAGACTCCGACGAGATCAAGGCAACTTTGCATTACTACGGGTCAATGGACGACATTCATAGTTCTGATCATAAGCCAGTGAAAGCTCATATTTGTTTAAAACTTAGCAAACCCTTGTAACTTACAAAAATTTGATAATGCACCAATGTATGCACCGCGAACAATTAAATTTTGCATGCTTGAATTTTAACAATTACCATCTAACTGTTCAAACATCAGTGGATTTCATGGACCAGTTAGTGTAAAGAAACTCACTAACTTGTATAAATGTTTGCCTCTTCCATTCCATGATATAACATTAAAAATTTAGAATTTGCTTCATTCATGTTTGTATCCTAGTACGTGAGCCTTTTTTCTTCTCTTGGACGGAGGAAACATTAACGAAGCTCAAAAAACACAGGCCTAACAGCAAGTCCACCCCTCCCAATCTCAAGTCACCCAACCTATTGCCTGAGGTAGTGTGACGTCAAGGTGGCGTCATAGTAACGTCAGGGTGGTGTCACTTTGGCATCACTCACGTTATAATTTTCTTGAGTCAGGTGCGCACGCTTCACACTCGTGTGAGAGTGATTAGTCGGATAAATATGTAGCACTGGGGCCTACGTTGTAGGCGCACTAACCCCCTCAGTTGTTTGATTTGCACAAGTTTTCTATCCTACCGTCCAAATTTTTCCAAAAAAAAAAAGAAAAAGAAAAATAATTTTTTACCTGTTTGTGTCCCACTTGGCACACTATGGGTTGTTGGATATAAAAAAAAATGTAATTCAACCGTTCATATTAATTAAGTAAGAAATAAATATTGAAAATTATAAAAAATTACAAAATCATGACACATGATTGCAATGGGTTAAAAATCTTATTTGTAATTAAACATAATTTTTTATTATTAATTATTAAAAAATATTTATACATGATAGAAATGCACTGGTACAAATACCATATACTAAAGCAATAATTGCCTTTACCTAATTGCCTGAACAATTGTTGCCTTAGTGGGGTAAAAGTGCTCTAAAGAGAACCAGGGTGCCAAAAGAAACAATCTAGTATTTTGTGCTAATCGTATTAGTTTTAAATTTTAATTACAAACAAGAAAATGAAAGTTGTTTGGAAAGTTGTCTATTTGTTTTGTATTAGCTTAAGATTTCGTCTGGTTTGTTTCACCTAATTACGGCCAAGGCCATTTTTGTTGGCACATCGATCAGCATGCAACCAATTAGTCTATGACCATGACAACATTCGGATTTGCTTAAATAAGCAACCTATTAAATTAAACTGCATTCATACTTTGCATTTGGACCATTTCTATTTTTCTTGTCGAAGAAAACAAGGTCCAACGCCAATGGTAAAGGACTAAATCTACATGCATGTATGGTTGACCTTTCATTTTGGGTAAATATACTATTTTGTGGACATGAACAGTTGATTCTACTTAGTTGAAGAAGATATTAGTTTTCACTCATGTGTACATTGACGATATATACAATTCTAATAAGTTCAATAATTAATTGTGATTCATTGTAACTTGTTATGAGTATATCCGTAGTTATTTTATCGCTTGTTAAAAATAAATAAAGATGTCATTCTCCTTTCTTTGTAACATGAGACCAAATATAAGTAAACCTTTTAGTGACCAATCATTCAAAACGAAAATAAGTAAATCGTTCGCCCCATCTCAACTTACAACCAAATTAACTCCGATCCCTACGGCAAAATGACTAATGAGTTATACTAGGATCACTTATCAGGCGGAACAAATCCGGCTAAACTCCCACAAACCTTCCGGATAGATGAACAATTTGATATTGTCACACTCTTTCATCAACAACAACAACTAAGTTTTATCCCACCAAATATGATCGGTTGTGTGAATCTTATAACGTCACTACGCTCAGTTGTGTATTATGTCACACCCTTTCATCAACAAAATAAAATTAACAGCTAATGGCATGTGGGAAAATGACATTTGTTTTTAGTTTTTTGTTTTTTTATTTTTGTCAAAGACATTTGTTTTTCAAACTTGAATATATTAATATTACAAAAACAATTTTAAATAAGGAGCACGTAGTCGATGAAGCATTCGAGGAATGATGATTTGTATATGCATGGATCGCCACTTATAATAATTAACACATAATTTTGCAGTTAATAAAATAGAACACTTAAACAAACATGCTAAATTATACTATAATTTGCTTTAATCTTAGAAAAGAAATAATTGAGCTCAAGCATACAATGCATGAACCAACCCGGCTAATTTTCGATTTGATTTTTATTTTTCTTTTAATTATAGCACAAATCAAACAAAATTGTACCGTTACATTCTAATTGACGATTGATTATTTGTTCATAAATTAAAAATAATATGATCAAAATAAGAATGCGCTCCAGAATCATATGAGAGTGGCAAAGTTAATTTGACTCCAACGTACAACAAAATCATGAGGCAATAAATAGTATCATTGTCAATGAGATTCTAACATGTTGTTTACAAATTTACACCATTTGCTTGGGACAACGGTTCCAAAAATTGATCTGTTAAATTAAGATGATTCTTAAATTTGAAAATCGATCAATGTAGTTTTTGAATATGGATATTGTAAATTAATGTCGATCTTCTGTTAGAACTTCGTCATATCTTATCTTAGTGGATAATGTCACACATGTGTGACCCGCAAGTCTAATTAAATATTAGCACTTTCGACGGTTGAAGAGAGAGAATAGCAGTGGCGGACGATGGAGTGCTTCGCTGTCGTCCACCTAATCGTACTATTAGGATTACTACTCGCCGACCACGCTACGCCTTCTTACGGAGGAAAATCGTCATCGAAGTGCTTGGCGCTGTAAGAACATGGTGGCGCTCCGGCTGTTTTTTATTCCCCATAATGCCGTCAATTGAAGGACTCCGACGACTCTCGACACACGTGGGCTTGGGGTGATTGGGTGCGATTAGGGTGGGGAAGATGGTTGCTTGGTGCCTGTGGTTGGGTTCTCTCTTTTTTTTTTTTTTTTTATTGTTAATTTTTTTTATATTTATTTAAATTTAAATCAATTAATTATTTAATTACGTATGCAATATCGGAAAGGGATCGTCTCCTAGTGCATTCCATCTAATTCTCTTTATCAAACAATCTGTGTCCTTGAAATTTGATCTAACGGCTAAAGTTATTATAACTTTTAAAGTGAGTTCGTGTTTATAGCCGTTGAATCAAATCCGAATTGTTTGATGAGGAGGATTAGGTGGAAGAGATCTGGAGAAGATCCCTTTTCCTGTAATATCATCACTAACATAAGTTTTGACAAAATTACAATAGAATGATTACATTGATTTGCAGCATTCTTATTTAAAGATCGATTTTTAATTTGAAAAATTATCTTTATTAAATGGGTCAATTTCAGAAACTATTTGTGATTAAAAACTTTAAGATTGTATTTACACAAACAACATAAACTCTTAATAGAAGCACTTTCAACAAAATTACTTCTGTAATCCACACACACTTTCAACTTTCTCACCCAAACGTTACCAAAAGTGCTTTGTAGCCATGTCACATTTGCCAAAAGCCTAAAATGGCTGATGGGATGAGAGATTGGAATCTTTATCTAAGCAAGGCAAAGAAATCAGCTTCTTCCTTTCGGATTCCTTCCACTTTTTACGCTTTGACACATTTTCCTTCTCGAAAATATCTTCACAAAATCAAGCTTTTCTGTTCTTACACGTAGTTTTAGTTTTTAACTTTTTTTAACTTTAAATTTTTATATCATTTAAAGATTGGATTTTAATTATTTTTTTCTTTCCAATTCCTCGAGAACTTTCAAAAGGGGCTTCTCTGATGTGTTTCCCAACTGGGTTTGATGAAAAATTCGTCAACCCCAATTGGGTCGGAACAAAAAGTCAATCAAAAGTTGCGGTTTTTACACCTGCTCCAAAATCTTGACTTTGAAATCGCGTAAACAGTTTCGTGTACTCCTCCATTGAGATTGCTTAAATATTTTCTGGGATTTCCCTTTAATGTTAACACGTGAAAGATTTTGAATTTTCTCCTTCTTTCTTCCCAATCCATCTGCCAGATTCTGCTCTGAATTTAAAGAGTTAAAGATCTAGCTTTTCTTTTTCTTTGTTTCTTTACCTGCTGGATTAGATTATATTTTATTAAACAGAGAGCGGAGAGATGGAGGAGTTTAAATTATGTAAATTTTGGTTTTTAGTTGTGAAAAAATGGTGCTTTTGATCGCTTTGGGATCTTATCTGATCTGTGGGATTGCTCTGTTAGCATTCAGAATTCTGCCTTCTGGAGGTGACTCACTCCTCCACTATTTTGATTCTCTGCCTTTTCCTTTTACGGTTTAGCTCAGATCAGTTGTTTTATGTCTTCAAGTTAATGGAAGAATCTCTCTTCGCTCTCTCTCCTCCATATATATGTGGGTTTCTTAGTAATAATTGACTAGGCACGCCTTTATTTCTGTATTTCTGCATATTGAAGTTCTAGGTGGAACATTGTGGGGTGTCAAAATGCGTGGTGGGTGAATTGCTTTTCTAGTTTTACTTTGTTTTTTTTTTTTTTTTGTGTATGTTTTCTTGTTGAAAAATGCAATTGCAGTGATTAATCAGTTGTTGGAATTGGGGTGTCCATGCAAGATTTTCAAAACCCAGTTTCTGGAATTTTAGGTGATGAAATCCAAATAGGTCATGCCATCGGTTTAGGTGTATATTTTTTCGGTTTTCGTATTGTTCTGCAGCTGGTTAAATTTACTTGAAAACATGAATGGCACCGGCATGCTGTTTTTATTTATATTGTTTCGTAATTTTGTTTTCAGATGTGGCTGTTATTAAGCATGAATTTTCTTTTCTGTTGGTTTTGCTGTTGATATTGCATTAACTCAGATGGTGTCTTCATGTGCAGTAAAAAACTTGATTGACTATGAGCAGATGACCTTACACGTTATGGGTTGGCTTAGCAAGATTTTTAAAGGCTCGAGCCACAAGATATCGGAGGAGCATTGTCATGACAATAATGACGAGGATCCAAATAGCTATGGACCTTCTTGTTCAGGGGTATAACATCTTCTTAATATATATAGAAAACGATCACTTTATGGAACGCAGGCTTCTTTTTAATCTTCATTTGGTATGCTTGAACTGGTTTAACATATTGTGGTGGGAAACTTCATGTAGGAGGTCTGGTCAGAAAACGAGAATGAAGAAATAGATCGTGCTATTGCACTATCTCTTTTAGAAGAAAATCAAAAAGGAAAAAATGTGATTGGTGAGTGATTTTTCCTATGAATGCTATTGCAAATGTTTCCACTTTGTATATTTCTTCATGTGTGCTTGTTCGTTCTTGTAATGTCAAATGATACAATATGAATTAATAAGAATTTATTATTCTTATAGGCTCTGATTCTCAGTTGCAAGAAGATGAACAACTTGCCAGAGCTATACAAGAAAGTCTGAATGTGGAATCTCCTCCCCGACATGGTAATGGAAATGGAACTACGTATCAACCTTTCCCTCCTCCCCGGCATGGAAATGGAAATGGGAATACAAATCAACCTATCGTTCCTCCCCGATATGGAAATGGAAATACATATCAACCTATCCCTCCTCCCCGATACGGAAATGGAAGTTCATATCCTATCCCCATGTACTACCCAATGGGCTCCAGGTATATGATACGCTTCAGTGCTGTTTCTTCCTTTTGGTGGTTTACTGCTTGATTACCTCATGGACTTGTAGAATGGTCTTTGAAACAACAATATGTGATTGTCTGAGGGCGTCTCGTTTCTCACATTTTCTCAATGCTTCTTTGTATTCTCAGTCCCATCCACTCTCTTTTATACCATGAATCCCTATTATGTGCTTCTGTTACTTTGTAAATTGGAATTTTAAAATCACTGTGTTTAGGAATGATGAATAAAGAAAAGTGAGTTGATGAGATTTGAAGTGTTAACAATTTATTTACTATGAATAATGTAAGGTTTGAAATTGTAGTTGTTTCTCCACATCAACCAGACTTAACACCCAATTCCTCTTGCTGCATCGATAATTCCTTGTGGAACTTCACATTATATTCCATGTCGGCCCATTGCTTATATTTACCATATTGTGACACAGTATCCTCATTCTTTGACATAGGGTTTGTGCTGGTTGCAATGCTGAGATTGGTTTTGGACGATATTTAAATTGCATGAATGCAGTTTGGCATCCAGAATGTTTCCGCTGTCGTGCATGCAACCAACCAATTTCTGATTATGAGGTGCAAAAAATAAGTTTAATTTCAGCACTGGTTCTTTTGCAAGATGCCTTTTGGTTGTCCAAATTATCTTACATTTGTTTCATTTTGTGTAGTTTTCTACATCTGGGCATTATCCTTACCATAAAGCTTGCTACAAGGATAGCTACCATCCGAAATGTGATGTTTGTAAGCACTTTGTAAGTATCATGATCTGATTTGATTTTTTAAGTTACTGACGGTGCTAACCATGCCTCTTCAAATTTTATTTCAAGTTGAATACTAAATGTCTGAGAAACAACTCATATATGATTTGTTGTTAGTTGTTCTTCGTTTTGTAATATTTTATCTTTTGACAGATTCCAACAAACCCTGCTGGTCTTATTGAATATAGGGCACATCCATTTTGGGTCCAAAAATACTGCCCTGTCCATGAAATTGATAATACTCCTCGGTGCGGCAGTTGTGAGCGAATGGAGGTCAGTTGGAATAAATTACTTTACACAGTTATGCTACGAAATATGGCTAACCCGATTGTTTTATAAGAAAAGAAAGAGTAAAGCAAAAGAGTGAATAACAAGATGTCTATGTTCACTACATGCAGGCCCGAGACACAAGATATGTACCCCTTGATGATGGTCGTAAGCTCTGTCTAGAGTGTTTGGACTCTGCAGTCATGGATACCAGTGAATGCCAACCCCTATATCTCGATATTCAGGAATTTTATGAAGGTTTAAATATGAAGTTGGAGCAGCAAGTTCCACTGCTCTTGGTTGAACGACAAGCGCTAAATGAAGCAAGAGATGGAGAAAGAAATGTAAGGACAATCGTTGAAACCATATACTTTTAGTATGAAAGTGGGACAGTTTTCCACGGTCATCCTTTGCAAGTCATACATTGTTAATCGAAAACATTTTTCTCATTTGTCTCTGATACTTACAAACTAACGCATATGAAAATCATTCATCCCATTGGATTTATGTTATTGACATGTTAACATACAGAAGCATGCATGTACAAGTCTCTCCGGAGATTTCCCTGTTGTATCATATCTACTCATCTTCTGTTGAAGCTTGTCTTCTCAAGATTTAGAAACTAAATCCGACTTTGATCAACTTTTTGTCATTTCCAGGGCCATTATCACATGCCTGAGACTAGAGGGCTTTGCCTTTCTGAGGAACAAACTATTAGCACGGTGAGAGTTTTATGAATATATTCTTTTCACGTTCTACAGCAGTTGGTAAAGTATCTTCTTGTGGGTTAGCAACTTATATTGTATTGATCCGAGAACCAACAGATTTCAAAGCGGCCACGTTTTGGGGCAGGACACCAAGCCGCGGGATTGATAACAGAGCCCTACAAGCTAACTCGTCGCTGTGAGGTGACCGCAATTCTAATCTTGTATGGTCTTCCAAGGTGCGTTTCTGTCTATTTTGTTTTGTGGCACATTTGTAACTCCTGGCTAAATCTGTTGCGTGACTAGAACCATCTGTGTACAGGTTGCTGACTGGGTCTATTCTAGCTCATGAGATGATGCATGCATGGCTGCGGCTTAAAGGTGCATTTTCGATGATCCATTTATTTGTTTGTTTAGTTCCATGTTTGCTATAGGAATTGCGAACTAAAGATGGCATCAAAAAGAAAATCACTGACTAGATCCTCAATTCTTCTTGAAGGTTACCGACCTCTTAGTCAAGATGTCGAAGAAGGTATCTGTCAAGTTTTAGCTCACATGTGGCTAGAGGCCGAGCTAATGTCTGGCTCAGGCAGCAATGCTGCATCAACCTCGTCATCCTCCTCTTCGAGGACATCAAAGAAGGGTACAAGATCACCGTTTGAGAGTAAGCTTGGGGGGTTCTTTTTACACCAGCTCGAAACAGACATGTCCCCGGTATATGGAGATGGATTCAGGGCCGGTCAACAGGCAGTGCAGAAATACGGGCTTCGAAGTACCCTAGAACATATTAGAATGACAGGGTTGTTTCCTTTTTGAGGACTGAATCCTTGAGTTTTTTGGGTGCTTCTGAATCTTTTCTTTCCCACATTGTTATAACTTGGGCCTTTACATATTAGAACCCAGAGGCCAAGAGTGCATAGGAATTGACCCTAGAGTGTTACATAATTCTTGTGATTGTGGCTGTTTGTCATGAATCAATTCATTGATTTGATTTACCTTTTTTCTCCCGTTGCACAATATGCAGAATTTTCGGTCTCTACTTGTGGAGGACTTCCATATAACTAGAAATTTTTTATTTGATATACCGGGTCATTTTTTGGCACAAAAAACCTCTCCCATATAACGGGATACTACTGTGGCGGTGTCTCGAGTCTCAATGTTACGTGGAAAAATTAAAACGCATGTCAACACTCAATTGGCTTCGTATACCGCTACACAGTGACTTTCTTATTGCAGTAGTCAAGTTTCGCTCCTACCAATGAAGCAATTTTTTTCCTTTAGCCCTAACGAGGAAAGGGAGGAAACTTCATAGAAATTCTAGAGAAATTAAAAAGCAAAATCATCTAAATGGAACTACTCGATGTAGTCAATGTACCGGTTCACCTTAATATCGGTTAAAAAATGTAATATAAGATGCTTGTGTTGCCAAAATATGAACCTAAATCCACCCACCATAAAAAAGTTGAAAAATTGAAATGTTATTTTTTCACTTACTATTATTCTTAAAATAGCCTTTAATATGCTATTTCCCCACCCACTATTATTCCTAAAACAACGAACTCCTTTTCGACGATAATCTACCAGTAAATTAATAACCCTCCAAATACTTTATTGTTTTGTGATTATGCACTCTAATAACTACTATCGATATCCAATCATCATCTTTAGCGTCTTACCCTTTAATTTGAAAGGGCATCCACACTTTTTCGTTCTAGAATTCCTTCTATCCTCATCCCTTTTATCCTTTTTAGTGAATTCAACTTGCATATTGTCCATTCCTTTCACAACCCAATAGAAGTCTAGGGCTCATGTTATCTTTTCGCGACCCACTTATTATTATTCCCCTATTATTATTATATATATGTTAAGGTTCTTATCAATCATTTTACAAATGAATAAACTTGTAATTAAAATTTTCATTAAAAAGTAGGTGAAAAGATAAGACACCGGAGTGGAAACAACTCTTTATAAATATTTTGTTGGCATAAGAAGCGTTACGTTACACAAACCGCGACGTTCAAGTCGAAACCATCATCTTACGAAATTCGTGGAAATCAAGAACTCCGTTTCCATCAAGGTCAAACACTCCAATCATGGACACACATTCATCGTACGATTTGGCATCTCCCAATCGATTGAACATGTTCTGCAATCCTTTTGGCGTTATGCATCCGCAACCTTTGTCAACTTCAAACATCTCAAAAGCCCTTTTGAGATCATCGTTGCCATCGCCCTCTCTTTCCATCAACTTCACGAAGTCTTCAAACTCCAACAAGTTGTCACCATTGCTGTCGAATTCTTCGATCACGCTCTGAACCTCGATGTTGGACATGGCTTCCCCGACGGACACAAAGTAAGCGAAGAGCTCGTCGCCGGAGATCTTGCCGTCGTTGTTGGTATCAAAATGATCAAAAACTTTTGCAAGCTCTTTGTTTGTGATGTCGTTGTTAGGATTTTCAGTAGGGAAAGTTGAACAAGGGCTTTCGGTTTCGGATTCGGGTTTTGAAAGAAGGCAAGGGAGGAGAGTTAGTTTGAAATTTTTACTGTTTAAGAACCACTTCAAGAGCTTGGAGTATCTATGCAGGATTTTCATTTTGTACAAATTGTGTAAGAGAAAACCAGAGGTAGATGAACATATAATGTTACAGCCATATATATTCACACATTATACATGTATAAACAAGTTGTCAAATGGAGAATTTGAACCTTCAAAGAAGTTGCCTATTAATGATTGGATTGGAAAATTGGTTTGCATGAAAGTGCAGTGTAGTTTCTCTGCAACTTGTTTACAATTGAGAGATTGACTTATTGTCAACTAATATTGATATGATTTTTACCATCATAGTATAACAGCTCAAACAATGTCGTTTTCTACAGGAATTGAATTAATAATTTGTATTTAACACCAACTCTTAATTAATTATGTAAAAAAAGTTTGTAAAATATTGATTTTGAGATTTAAATTAATAAAAACGAATTTAAAATAAAAACAGTTAAATAATTGACAAAGTAAGGAAAGTAAAAGACGAAGATTTTGGAAAACAATTTAAACACTAGGGTTCTGCCGTCACCATTAACAATCCTATGCAATTTTACCATTTACTTATGAATTTCTACCTATATGCTTTGAAGGTTAGCTTTTCCTAATGCATATTTTCCTCGTGATGTTCAAGAGAAAATGTATATCTAACATGCAACCCGTCTATGATGTTCAGATCAAATATAAACATGCAAGACTCATTAAGCTTTGTGAAAACCCTTTAAAAAAAGCCATGCAACCCTTAAGAGTATGATGTTCGCCTTAAGTGAACTTACAATTACTAATTACAAGAAGCCCTCCTCAATTTAAGGGTGATGTTCCAACAGAAATTGCATCAAATTACTTGTCCTACTGGTCGCGAATCACTAAGACAATTAGATAGTTTAATTGCGGTGATTAATAATTCAAAGCAAGCATGCATCCATTCATAAGCAAATTAATAAAATCACATATTCATGCTAAGGCTCGTGGCTTCGCCCTCGCCCTAGTAAAAGAACTGTTACGAACAATCATAAAACAAATTATTATTGAGAATAAGGATAGAAAACACCTAGAAAATAAACTTGAAAAACTCTCTAAAGTGTGCCTGCGTTCTCTTCTCCTCTCCCTAATGACTAAAAAACCTTATTTATACTACTCCAAATTAAAATCCTCATAGAAAAGGTCTTCTAAAAAACTAGGAAATAAAATAATAAAAATAAAACTAGAAATTACATTCCTATTCTAACTAAGAAATCTGCTCATTAAAAAAATAGCCACATTTCTGGACTTTTAGAGCTCCAAAATAGGTCCAAAACAACTCGAATTAAAGATTATGACCTCCTCTCCAAGTTCCAAGAAGAGCCCAAGTCCAAAATCCATCATCTTCCAGCCCAAAAGTTGCAAATAAACTCTGCAGCCCAATCTGCCAGCACTGCACAGTGGGCATAAATTAATTTGCCACGATCAAATGTTTCGGGATAAAATTATGAAATTTTGACACAACCTTCTTGACAAATTTACTAACCCGATCCAATTGGAATCGCTCAAAAATTCCACCGCTTGATTACTTTATGCTCAAAACAAGTTCGCATATCCTACATTAAAAACACATAGCAAATTATCAAAATCTTACCAAAATAATAACCAAAATATACCAAGAATAGGGAATAATTCATAGTATAAATTGACTCATCAAATATTACTTGCAAGATTTTATTTAACTTTTTCTTTTCTAATTCTTGGATTTCTGATTAGGGTAATTATGAGTGGCGTATTCAAGAAAAGTTATTCATATGGTTATATGTAAAAAATTCGTAAATATTTTTTAGACATATATAATAATCTTAAAAATTTAATTATAATTTCATCATGCATAATTTATAAAACAAATAACAATAAAAGTTACAATTGTCGACAAAACGTTTTTGTATTTTGTGAACGCTGCATTATAACTTCAATTTTAGTGAAAGAAAAAACATTACTCTCAATACAAACTATTATGCTATCACTCAATTATTGATTTCCCATTCGGTTAGGTAATCAACTTTTTCACAATATTCATAGCGGAAAATGTTCTCTCTACTGAAGCAATAGCAACCAGTTGAACCAAAACCAATGTAATTAGCAAATATACATGATTGCCGAAGTGGGGTGGAAGGGGTTTGTGCTTTAGGAATTGAGTTTGGGATTGTTGCAACCTCCGGGTTTGCCCCTTTTTTATTTTTTTTATTTTTTTTTAAGTTGATGCTTGTCTACATTTTTTATTATAAAGTAATTTGGCCCAAACGATGTTTTGGCCAGGTAATATGTAAAAATAATAATAAATAAAAATAGCTACTTTTCTTTGAAACATTTTATCAAGCAGTTGAAAGGCATTACAAAGAGCAACTCTAACTTTCAAAAAAGCAGCACTCAGATCACTCACGGAATTCATCAGAATTCGGAGGGCCAGGGGACCCCTTCCCGCCCCTTAATAATTACCACCATAAGTTGTAACTTTTTATGTCGTATGGCAATTAAATTACTAGGAAGATTAACCTTTTTCTTTCTTTTTTTTTGGCTAGTAGTGGATTGCATAAAAAGTGAACCAAAACAAAATGAAAATCTCTTGAACGAAGTCGTTTTGTATGACACATTGTCACGATCTGCCTCGCAACATGAAAATCAAGATAATGTATTTAGATCAATTAATACAGCAACTTTTCATTTTCTGTTGTGGATTTTTTTTCCCTCTAATGTTTCAATATTCTCCCCTTCTTCCTGGGTTTAAGATGGTTTCATAGCAGAAGTTTGAACCAGAATTATTGGGTGTTCCATGCCATTGTAGTCATGCAACGCAAAGAAGACGAACGGGAGCCTCGCCTTAAAAAAATAAAAAATTGTTTAATATCTACTGAATCATTAGCTCACGTATTAGATGTTAAATTTATGGGAACATAAACTCGTCTTCCATTTTATACGGCTTGCAATAACCTTGTTTTAGGTTACTCTCGATGAGGGATGAAAGCACGCAAAGATATTACGCATTCTTTTTTCGTTCCTCCACTTCTAAAAGATATGTATAGGAATTAATCAACCCTCGTGTTCCCCCAATTTCACAAAGTTTTCGAGCCTCATTTTGTTTCCTGCAATTACGAGAGATTCCTGTATTACTAGTAAAAAACATTCCGAGTTTTTGCTTCATAGACTTGTATCATCAGAAAACAATTGAACTATTTGGAGGGTGCGCCAGGCCAATGCCGTAGTGCAACGCAAAAGTGACGCCTGAAAGTTCTAATAGCAAGCTATTGCAGTGAACTTTCCCCTTAAAAAAATTAATTTAATATCGTGTGAGCCATTAGCTCACGTATCAGATATTAAACTGATAAGAACAGATACTACACTTGATCTTAGCCAAAAGGCCGAGAAAGGTATGACTTGAACGAAAGTCTCGTTTTCGTTTATATACGGCACGCAGCTTTCCCTTGTTTATGACACTGTTCGATGTGGGACGAAAGCTCGCAAACGTACGATGCATTCTCCTTTGTTTCCGTTCCATCAATTTCACGAAGCCTTCCAACTCCAGTAGGTATTCACTACTCTTAACGGATTAGTTAGCTTGAAATTCTCACAATTGATGGACAATTTGGAGGGCTCTGAAACACTGCCAAGTTGTTATGAATTCATTCTGCAGATTGCAGACGATAAATTTTCAGCATTGTTTGTGCTTTGTTCTTCTTCTGTTATGTTCTATGACATTACAAGTGCATGCACACAAAAGCCAACTTACTTTGCATATTATCTATTTGACTCGATTGTTCTAATGGAGGTGAAATCTGTCATCAGTCAAAGCACCAATGATGGAAGATTGAGCGATTCAAAGAGGAGAAATTCTATAGCGCGACCACCCTCACGAAGACTAGACTTCATGTGTTTTGGTCCCACGACGCCATCCGCGATCTCACCCTTGAGTGAGCGTTGCCCGGATCAGCAGTCGTGCACAAGAACTCCTAACCAAAGACATGAAATACAATAGGAAACACGTCCGACCGAAGTTTGTTCCATGTAAACATGAGATATCTCTGCTGTTCGTCAAAAATTTGAAATTTATGTTCTCACCGTTTAGTAAAAAATATATTGTAAGTTCTTAGATTAACTTTCTTTGCGATTCAACAAAGTGAATTCTAGTTCGCCTAGTGTTGGAAGAGCGTTGTCGATTTAACAGCTAAAACTTTAACTGGTTTGGTAGGGTGCGCCAGCCAATGCAATAGTGTAACACAAAGGCAACGCGCAAGAGCTCCAGCAGCAAGCTACTGTAATGAGCCCTCCCCTCTAAAAAATTAATTTAATATCGTGTGGATCTATAATCCACATATCAGATATTAAACTGATAAGAACAGATACTACACTTGATCTTAGCCAAAAGGCCGAGAAAGGTATGAGTTTAACGACGAACCGCATTCTTGTTTTATGCACCATACTGCTTCTGTTGATTGCCGGAATCCCGATGTGGGACAAAATGCAACAAAGTACTACTGCTGCCAAAGTAAGTAGGAAATTCTATATCTATTGGGATTGCAGCACACATGGGAGTTCCATACTTCCATGTGAAAGTAATTCTATCAATTTGACTTGTTGCCCTATCTTCTCATTTTCTAGACTTTCCATGAATTATATTTAACAGACACAATGGGACCTTTGTAAACTGAGCCTTCATGTGGACTTTGAAAACTTAGTACTTATCTTTTTGAAAAGAAACGATGTGATATCCTTAAGAATAAACTTAAGTATGAAGATAAGGATAAAAAAAATTGGGTCAAAAGATGGAGTTTTATTAACAATTTGCTTATTGTGAAGGTGGAGATCTGGTAGTTTCTGAATTCTTATGTAAAGAATTAAAAAAGGAATTCTTTCAACAAAGATGTGAATTAGGAACAAAGATGTGAATTAGGAAGGTTGGTTGATGAAATAAATATAAACCAAAGGCTGAATCTTGATATATCTCAAAACTATATATTTTTGTTACCACGGGATTTATTGACAAATGCGGATCATTTGATTGGAATGGGTACCCTTGACTATATGAATCATTTGAAAAATAAATGTATTCATTCTGTTGCGGATCTTTTACAAGATCAATCCTGGTTGGCTCTGGTTCATTTAAAAAATATGATTAGAATTTGGTCAGCGGAGCAATTAGGCATAAATTGATACTGACTCCTCAGAATTTGGTAACTTCAACTTAGTTAACAACAACTTATGAATCTTTTTGCAGCTTAATCTTTACCATAATCTCGTTCATAACTATTGAAAAAAACCGAGCTCCGATTAGGAGACTGGAGTTTCCAATAACCTCATGAAATGGGTCGTTGATGATTTGAGCCTGCCATCACAATCCCTAATTTTCTTGATTAATTAAGATAGTCAGAAACAATTGACATCAATTAAGACAGCTAATAGTTACAAGCTAGCTTTCCACTCTCAAAAAATAAAGAAAGACGTTTCATCTTTTAATTTGGTTATTTATTGGTCTGGGGTATGCGTCATCTTAAAAAACGTAGAATAAGGGGCACCTCCAAAATTGACAGGCAAAAAGAATATGCCACGTCTAACATCAGTACCCACCTCTCTGCGTACAAATATGGGAACACCTCCATGTGAAGAAAGACATGTAAGTTTACCGGCAACGGAGTTTCAGCTCAGCCACTGAAACCCTAGCAAAAACAACCCTTGGAACAGCTCAAGGCTTTCATGCGGATTGTACATATGTGGATTATGTCAGTTGGCGATAGTTTACAAGTGCTTTGGAATGTTATCACATAAAAAGAAAAAGCTTGGCATGCACTTATATTGATTGTGACTTGGAACAAGGAAAGGGATCTGGAGTAGGATCCCTTTCTCCTAATCTACCAAATCAGGGAATCCAGACTATTGAAATTTGATCCGACAGCTAAAGTTATTATAACTTTTAAAGTGGGTCTTGTTTGTAGCCGTTGGATCAAATTTCAATGGTTTGAATTTCCAGATTTTGTGGATTAAGAATAAGGGATCCGGAGATGATCCCTTTCTTTGGAACAAAGCCATCCTTGTGGTAAATTCATGGGGCCGTGGCAGGCCAAAGTTATAGGTCCCGCCATTGATCACCACTTCCTCCGTCGTGCATCACCACAGACTTCTATTCAAACATCATTTCAAGTAGTGTAAGTGGTTTCATAAGAAGGGTGGTGGCCCGAAACACAAAGCTACTTGCTTTTTAGAGAATATTCAGTCATTTTCTTCTCTCCTTTTTAATAAATTCAAAAACTATAAAATTAATTGTTGATATAATGAAAAGTAGTTCAATTCTTTATAAGAACACAAAAGATTTGTTCTTTTTTTTTTTTTCGCCGTGAAATTCATACTTTCGACACACGTATTCATGAAGGAGTACGTTTGACAACTATGCATTGTATTAATTAGTCACTTATTCGTTTGGTACATGACCTAAATGCATGTATAAACGTATTTAATTACTTAAACTACAAATCTCTTATAAAAAAACTAAATGTTCTTCAATTCGAGGGTTGTTGTGATGATAGTGATAAAGTAAGAATTATCTATCATGGACATATTAAAAAGTATCTATCAATCATGTTTCATATCTTATATATTGGTTACTTTGGATGGAAGAAATCAGCCTGAAATATTTGGTTGTAGGTAATTATACAACCACCTATAGAATATTAAGACTTAATTTTTTTATTGACGAAATTAAGATTGAAATTATATATATTCCTAATTATTCATATAAATTAAAAAATGCGTACATTATTAAATTAAAAAAAAATACGGTTTCAAAGTACAAATGGAAATAAAGAACAACATCCGAAGAGGATCTCTGTTTTGTTTCCGTATCCGAACTGCTTTATGCCGGCGGCCTTAATTCTAAAACCGAACCTGAAAGTAGGTACGACCCACGGCCCCAGGGCTTATCGAGATTTTTTAATATGATCAGTACACGAAATAATACATCACGTATCATTATACAAATAATGAGATATCTGTGCTTTTTAACAACTTAAAAAATAAAATTTTCCACCACTTCTATTAAAACATGTAGTGTACCACTTGTATTTCCGTCACAATTAAAAATTTCTCCTAAACGTACAACCTGGTCTAGCCCTTCTCGCTTGCCGTACTAATTTTTGGCATAAAAATTTGCCGCGTTCCATTATTTTTTTACGACTTTGCCATCCTCTTTCCTTGTCCTTTTCCCGCTCCTACCGACACTTCGTATCTTCAACGAAATATCACATATTTTTAAACTTTAAACAAAGAAAAAGTATATATTTTTTAAAAATTTAATTAGAATGAAAAAGGGTTTCGAATAAAGATTGTACAGGTTGGCTTTGTATGATATCCACTATTGGGTTGAAGCTTATTTAATAATTGAAGTCATGAACATCAAAATCTTTTGCACATAAAATGAGTGTAATTTCTCTATTGTCACAATTATTATTTGACATATACTAAGTTTTTGAAAATAAAATTTAAAAAAATTAAGTTTATAAACATGTATAGTTCATGATTTGGATCACAGAGATGATAGACTCATTTTGAGTACAAAAGATTTGGCAATCAGACAATTGGTTCTATGATTTATCATCAAACCATTTCTTCTTTATATCATTCCTTTTTGTATGTGTGGGAATTATATATTCATTCGTTCATGTTTTTAAACAATTACAATTTAATATGTGCAGTCTTAGGTCCTGTTTGGCAGATTGGATAAAGGATCGGATAAGACTAGTTATACAGACACGGGTGTTTGGCGTTCACTCATACTAATAAGCATCGGATTAATTTAATCGGTCTGCTTATTTAACACGATATACACCGGATTAATAAAACCAACCAAAAGGCTCGGATTATTAGTCGATCCCCCTCTCTCTCACCTTCTCTCGGCCCTCTCTCTCTCTCTCTCTCTCTCTCTCGCTCTCTCTCTCTCGCCTTCCCTTGGTGTCGTCGTCCTCCCTATCACCTTCTCTCACCATCGCCGTCCTCCTCGTCGCTTTCTTTCGCCGTCGTTTTCTGTCGCCGTCGTTTTCTCTCGCCATCTCTGCTCTCTTAGTCCTCATCGCCTTCCTCGTTGTCCTCTCCTTGTGGCCTTCCTCATCGCCGACTCGCCGTCCTCCCCTGTAACTGGGTCTTGCAAAGAAACATAGTGCGGCGGAGAGATGATTTCAATCTGGGATTCTTCCGCAACTGGCTGTTTGAATTTAGTTAGGATTCTTCTGCAGTCGGGGAAGAAGAAGGGAGAGAAAGGGAGGGAGTTTGAGGGGTGCGGCGGAGAGATTTGGGAACACAAGTGATGGTTTCTGTTTTTATTTTTTTTTATTTTTTTTAAGTTTAATTTTATTTTAAGTTTGATTCCTCCTGTCCGTTATTAAATCAAACACAGTATAAATAATACGATCATTAGTCTGATACTGCACCAAACGCCCGACTAATTTAGTCAATACTATCCAGTGGCTATTTATCCTATTCGACAAAAATAGTCAGTACAGTCCGAGCTGCCAAACGAGGCCTTAAGGTATTATATTTAGAGTAACGTTATATTTATTATATTTTTCATATCACATCTGTATCATCTCTTTTCTCTAATAAAAGTAGGACATACCAACATTGTCATATCTCTATTAGAGAGAGTACAATATTTGATATAAAAAATCTAATAAGAGTAATATTTTTTTATTTATAGTATTTATATATGTATCAAATTGTAATTTACTTTAAAAAAAAAGAAATATTACTTAACAATTTAATTAATGGAAATTTTAACGAAAAGCTTACTGTATTGTTTACTTTAAAGAAAAACCACATTTTTACATTAAAAAATCAATCCTAATATTAGTCAATTTACCCTTTATTTTACCTTTATCATTAAAATTCAAAGGTTTCAAATAGTTTTTTATTAATTTTTCTTTTAATTTATGTCGTTCCTACAATAACAAGAACTCCAACTTGCGATGGTATTGTTGAATTGTCAATACACAAACACAGAAAAATTCTCCAGTTGGCCCTACCGTGTACATGGTAGTGTTACAAAGATATGGAAATATAAAGGGTGGCAATCTGCCATGTGGCAAGTTGGCAACGAGCAGCGTAGCCTAGAGTATAGGTATTAGGGTTAAAGAGAGGATAAAGAACACTACTTGCTTGTTGCAAATTCGGCAGCAACTTTCGCTGTTACATAATCATATTTGAACATGTGTTCAAAAGTGATTGGGTAGTAGTAGGAGCTGTTACTGAATTTGTAGCAATTAAGTAGTGTACGGGGATAAAATGTCATCCTCTTATCCATGTCTCAGTTGTATAGAGTAATACTAGTCAGACTAATTTTTTTAGACCAAATTTATGAATTATATTATTTGTCATTAATACAACAAATGAATATGTTATTCAACATTTAAATAATAATTTAATCATCAACAATTACATCATATAATTTACAAAATTCGTTCAAAATAATCGGTCTCTCTAAAATTACTGATATAAAATAATAAGAAAAGACTTCAAAGACTGTATTTAATGTAGGTAGAAAGTTCAATAATAATACAATAGCAAAACATTAGGTCATTGACTGTGACTCGTGAGTCAATAGGGAGCTACACAATCTTTCTAAATCACTTGATAGGTTTGGATAATTAATCTAGCTAGTACTGGACTAGTACGGTAGTACCTAGGTAGCTTTGATGCATGGTAATAGGAGAGTGAGATTAATACAATTGATAATTAAGCGTAATTATCAAACGCAACTAATTAATTTAGTAAGAAAAGACATATGTATTATCATCAGTTCCAACTCATTGAAATCAAACTAACAAGATTTTAGATCTCAAACTCATTGAAATCAAGATTACCTTGATTTTTTTTTTTTTTGAACAAACAATATTAGGGAAATTCATAAACATTAATCCTTTTTTTTTTTCCGGACTAATTTATTTTCCCCCCAGATATTTATCAGATATCATCAGCTTCAGCTACGTACTTTTTTTTTTTTTTTTTTTTTTTTTTTTTCTGTTCCAGATATAATACCGGTAGTATAATCTACAAACAAATCCCAAAAGACTGATCATCACGAGAGCTCGCTCGTTCCTCAAAACGACGACGCACAATTCACAGTCTCAGCTGCGACTCTGCGAATACCCCAAGACGCCACCTCTTTCCGCCTCAAGAATCCAACACAAAAGGCGTTTCCAAGAGATCGTAAGGAGCCCAGAGAGCATCGAGCGGGCAGGGCCGATTGGCCTCCAGCCGGGCCCACGGCTTCCCCTTCCCGCTCCAATGCAAAAGACTCACTGCGCCCGGATGCAGATCACGACAAAGCCCCCTGAAGTTGTCGCCACCGAGCCCGTGCTGGTTCCACTGGTGCTCCACTGGCGCGATTTTCCCTGCGAACACCAAAAGAAACGGAGGGAGGGATCCGAGCTCATAGATCCGCATTCTCTTTTGGAGCTCCATCCACTCCTCGATCTTCGCCGTGTAGTCTCCGCCGCGCCACCGGTCGAGGTCGATGACCATGACACCGGTGTTGAAGTAGCAGGCGTGGCGGTCGGCAAAGGTGAGGGAGAGGGAGGGGTTCGACCAAAAGGCGGAGGTGAAGTAGGAGGTGAAGTTGGCGTTGCAGTACTCCGGGGCGGCGAGGATGGCGACGCCTCCTAGAGGAGTGGCAGAAAGCTTGGCGATGTCATCCACGAGGATGAGATCGGAGTCGAGGTAGACGACGCGGCGGACACAGAGGGGGAGAAGGTCGGCGAGATAGGATCGGGCGTAGTTGAGGGGGCAGTCGAGGGCGGAGCGGATGGAGGTGGAGATGAGGCGGGAGACATGGGAGTCATCGAAGGCGTAGATTCGGAATTTCAGGTAGGGAAATGAGGTGGAGATTGTTTGGCGGAGGAGGGAAGCGTTGGCGGCGGCCGAGGCGACAAAGTGGAAGACTGCGTTTTGGGGGCAGGATGAGTGTTGGAGGACGGAGAGGATCGCAGCCATGGAGCCGCGGATGTAGGCGGTGTCGAGAGTCATTGCCACGTGGACTGCTTGAGGAGAGCAAATCATGTGGCCGTCGTCTGATTCGTCGGGGTCCACGTCAACGTCGGGGAGCGTGGTGATGGAAGGGCAGTCTTGGGAGTTATAGAACTGAGGTGCTTCTCTAAATTGTTGGGCGGCGGCGGCGGCGGCGGTATTGGTTGCGGTGGCGGGGGAGAGGAAGAGAAGTAGGACGAGGAGGAGGAGGAGTGGAGGTGGCATGGGCATAATTTGAAAAGGGTGGGAGTGTGATGCAATGAGATCTGTAATATTTTTTAGATGATGGGGCGTAGATTTTAAGTTTAATATATGAGGAGGGGGATTTTAAAGGACACGCTTTTGTGGGGTCTTTCGTAAATTTAAAAAAAAAAAAAGAAAAAAAAAAAGAAAGGAGATGGAATTTGGGAATTTGGAAAATTGGAAATGGAATGAGGGGGTGGATGATTGGGTGAGGTGTGTGGAGGGCATGGGAAAGGACTCAAAGGAGGGGGGATTAAACGAAAAGGTTTCTTAGTGTGCTGAGAACATGATTTGGTACATCAAATATTATAATACAAGTGTTCGGATATGTAAAAAAAAAATTTTATTGTATTATGACACTTATTATATCAGGTTATATTCTCGGCATTGAAAAATTTCTCGATTAAAAGAATATATTTCAAAGGAAGGAGGGAGGAGGGAGTTGTTGAGTTCTCATAAATGAGTGAGATACATGATAGGATGGTACATCTCTATCCTTCTAGTTGAACCTCCTACATCCCATCTTCTTCATTTTGTTTATTTTTTACCCTATTGTAACTTGTAAATAAAAATTTCAACAAGAGTGTTGTACATCTTTCGGAGTCAAATTGTCATGAAGTATAATTAATCTGCTCGTTTCAGTGTTTATCATTATATTAATATCACACTTAATTTATTAAATATTGATTATATCGTCCAACTTAAGACATTTTAACTGTCAGACTCGAAAAAAATTTCATCTAGTAGTCTTCTTTTTTTTTGAACAATCATCTAGTAGAGTCTTTGAAACTTTTGTTCAATGCATTTGACAATTAAATTATTAATTATGTCTTAATAGGTAAGGAGATTCAAGTGTATATTTAAGTTTTTATATTTTGAAAAAATAATAACAATTTGTAATAAGAATGTGGCTACTAGTAATTCTTTGTCCATACCAAAGAATTAGAATTGGTTTAGGGATTTCGTAAGACTGTCTTTTATATTATACGACTAAGACCGTACACCAAAATCAACTCGCTATATAAGACCTAGATAATGTGTATTAGTAGTTTGTTGATGCTCCATTGAATCGAGAAATTTTTGTGAACAATCGGGATATATTTCCGTTTATATATATTTAATTTTTTTTTTTTTTTTTGGTGTCATGTAGGACATATTATTTGATGAAAGAAATACTAATACAGTGAATAAATATATGATTATACGTTAGATTTATCAATCCACTTGTTTCCTCTTAAGAATGAATTTTCTCATCATTTTACTTTGTTTTTCTTTCCCTTATTTTCTTGTTATTAATACCTCTCAAAATGTTGATGTATCGCAGTCAGGTAGAACTATTTTTGAGTTACTGATACCTATCAGGGGCGAATCCACCCCCAAGCCTAGAAATTCTTCATAGAAGAGGTAGGTGCTGCCATTTGAAAATCTGAGATGCCCTTGAAAGCTATCCTCTAACTGCTCTACGAATTGTCTGTATGAGCACTGGGCAGGGTAGTTGCTAGTCTCATGCCTTCTTATGTGTTTCTATGGGCATATGTCGATAGGCTCACTCGACATACATTGACATATGTCGACACACCTGCTCAAAAGCTACTGATATCAATCAACAAACTTGATCAGAAGTTGTTGGCATTTATCGACATGTGTGCAATATGACTTGACAAAATGACCTTAGACCTACCAAGTGAAATACCAATTTGCATGCTACTTTGTCCAAAAAAAATTTACACACATAACATACTATTCTTACTGCCCCTACATATAATATTTCCTAACACCGCCACTGATACCTCTCAAATGAGAAGCAGTTAAAAACCTAGAAGAAGAAAAAAACTTGAAGCTTCGAGACCAAGTTTTCTACTAACATACTTCAGAGGGGGGGAAAATATTATGTCACATTCATGTGCTAAAAGAGACATGGAAAGCTCGATTGTATTAAACTAAATAATTATGTGGTAAATGCAGGATCCCTCACTTTTTAATCATACTTTAGTTGAACGTCGTTAATTAACGACTGGATTAGTGTGGATTATACGTGTCGTTAAGTACATTTTAACTCGTAAATTCCCCTAAACAAGCTAAAATAAATGATCATTTTTCCTTTCTTTTCTTCTTCTTATCACCTAATCATGCTATAATCCAACTTTTTTTTTTTGCACTTGTGAGCAATAATTAAAAGACGCGTTTAAAATCCGTGATTAAAAAGCACTTAATTAAGGCACTTCGTCAGGGACCAGTAACTGCATAAATGAACATCACCGTCACTAAGAGCAACTCCACCCCTATCCACTTTGCGCCAGCACCCAGCCCATTTATCCACTTAATTGAACAGTAACAGACTCAATGAACAGTAATAGGCCAAAGCATCTCCACCCCAAAAAAAAATGCGCTGGCACCTAGTCTAAAAATGCGCTGGCACAAACGATCTCCACCCCTACAAAATGCGCTGGCACCTAGTCCATTTAAAATATTAAATAATTTTTTTATAAAATAATAAAAAAAAAATAGTTTTAATTTCGGATAGGATTTTTAACCAATCTCGTCACGCCACGTGTCATTATCCGAACGTACTATTTTTTGAATAGATTTCCGCTAAGATTTTCAACCAATCCCGACAACCCACGTGTCACTTCCTGTTTACAATAATTTAGGCAAGATTTCGATAAGATTTTTAACCAATCTCGTCACGCCACGTGTCATTATCCGAACGTACTATTTTTTGAATAGATTTCCGCTAAGATTTTCAACCAATCACGTAGTGCCACGTGGCATTGTCCTGAACCTCATCTTCTTTATTTTTGTCCATATAAACCCTACATCCCTACATCCATCCTCACACTAAACTCAATCCTTTTTTTTAGCTCAGAATTCTTCTTTATCATTTTCAAATCTTGAGTTCTTACAATGTCTTCTTCAAGGAGAGCGTATAAACAGTTGCAAGAGCAGCAGAAAAGGTTGTTGGCACAACAGGAAGAATTGGTCAATCTTGACCAAGGTGGAGGTAGAGATGAGGCCTTCGCAATGGAGGAGGATGACGATGATCACCATAGAAGGCGGAGGGCCTCACATTCCCGCCGTATCATGCAAGCTATGGGTCAGATAGCCAAACCCGGACGTGCGGCAAACATCGATAGAAGAAGGGAAAGACGAGGTAAAGATCTCTTGGAAGATTATTTTATTCCCAACAGCGTTTACCCTGATCATGTTTTTAGACGTCGTTTTAGAATGCAACGAAGTTTGTTTGCTAAAATCATGAGTGATGTTTGCAACCATGATCCATATTTTGTGCAAAAAGAGGATGCTTTTCATGTTCTAGGTCTTCTTCCTGAGCAAAAAATTACGGCTGCCTTGCGAATGCTTGCATATGGAGCATCTGCAGATCAAGTGGATGAGATCGCAAGGATGGGAAAAACAACAGTTCTGGAGTCCCTGATGCGGTTTTGCTCTGCAATTGAAGCCCTCTACACCAATGAGTACCTTCGGCAACCCACGCCAATGGACATGCGAAGGCTTCTGAGGAAGGCTGAGATGCGAGGCTTCCCTGGCATGATTGGAAGCATCGACTGCATGCACTGGACATGGAAAAACTGTCCAAGTGCGTGGCAAGGAGCTTATGGCGACAGAAAAGGAGCCAAAAGCATCATTCTGGAAGCGGTGGCTTCTTTTGATACATGGATTTGGCATGCTTTTTTTGGTGTTCCAGGAGCTCAGAATGACCTAAATGTCCTTGCCCAATCTCCAGTGTTTGACGAACTGCTACAAGGGCGTGGGCCGAGATGCACATATTGGGTTAATGGTACTAAATACGAGGGACCATACTACCTTGCAGATGGTATTTACTCAAGGTGGTCAACATTTGTCAAAACAGTGCCACACCTGCATAGTGAAAAAGAGAAACACTTCGCAAAGTGTCAAGAAGGGTGTAGGAAGGATGTCGAGCGTTGTTTTGGTATCCTGCAAGCTCGTTGGGCCATTGTCAGGGCTGCAGCTAGAATGTTTGATGTTGAGGCTCTTCAATCCATCATGATGACGTGTATTATTCTCCACAACATGATTGTTGAAGACGAGTATGATTATGATGCCGTCGATGAATACGAGCCGGATCCGATGAACAACTCAAGAACACAAATCTACTATGCTCATGACCGGACCGAAGATCCCGTGCAACACGAGCCGTTGGAACGGGATGGACGTTACAATGAATTGATCGTTCAACGATACACTTCATTGCAAGAGCCATACTGGCACATAGCCCGCCAGAATGACTTGATTGAGCATCAGTGGAGCTTGCACGAAGGCGAAGATAATTAAAATAAGGCTTGTGGTTGAAGAATAAAGTGTATTGTTTTTTAAGTAATCTTATTTAGTGTGTTTGCTTTTTTTTTTTTAAAGTTTAAATGGTGAGGTTATGTAATTTTAAGTTTAAATGGTGTTTTATGTAATTTTATTTGGTGTTTTAAGTTTAAATGGTTTTTTTTAAAGTTTAAATGGTGAGGTTATGTAATTTTAAGTTTAAATGGTGTTTTAAGTTTAAATGGTGTTTTATGTAATTTTATTTGGTGTTTTAAGTTTAAATGGTTTTTTTTTTAAGTTTAAATGGTGAGGTTATGTAATTTTAATTTTAAATTAAATAAGAAATTACATAAGAAATTAAATAAGAAATTAAATAAAGTTCTAAAAATAAATAAGAAATTACATAAGAAATTAAATAAAGTTCTAAAAATAAATAAGAAATTACATAAGAAATTAAATAAAGTCTGTGGAGTTAGGATATGTGGTGCTAGGATCTTGGTTGCTAGGATTTCTGTAGCTGGAACCCCCTTGACTTGTTTCGGCATCTCTTGCACGCCTCCTTCGCACGACATCTCTTTTTTCTGATGTCCAAAAATATTTTGAATTCGGAGACAGTCCTACTAGAGACTTGTTCATAGTGTCACGATCTGTTTGAGCCATCCTTTCTTCTCTGAGCATCTCATTCTCTCGATGAAGTGCTTCTCTAATCATCTCGTTCTCTCGATTAACTATTTCTCTTTGTCTCTCAGACGCCGCATCACGAGCCTCAGTAGCTGCAATAATTGCTGCCACAGCAGCAGCTTTTTCCTCA